GTTTAGGTTAGATATTAGGAGGAAGTTTTTCACACAGAGGATGGTGACACACTGGAACAGGTTGCCCAAGGTGGTTGTGGATGCCCCATCCCTGAATGCATTCAAAGCCAGGCTGGATGTTGCTCTGGCAGCCTGGTCTAGCAGTTGGCAATCCTGCACGTAGCAGGGGGTTGAAACTGGATGATCACTGTGGTCATTTTCAACCCAGGCCATTCTGATTCTGTCTTGTGCCTATGTGCTCTTGTATATCATTTTGAAAGGTTGCAGAGTCATAAGGTAGTGACTATATTCTGGAAACTTTCTCTTTAAACTCATTGGGTATTCCACAAACAAGGAGTTTGAGCCAGTGCAGATATCCAGAAGTAAGCTTTTTTCTTCTTAATGAGAAGATATGCAACTAAAGCTGTGTGAATTTGAAATGGACCTTAAGAATATCTTATCTCTAGTGGGGAAGCGCTGTTCTCCTGCTTGATTCTCTTTTGCTTCCTTTACATTATCCTCAGATCCAGGTTTTTCTTTCTTCATAGATATCTCCTGAAGAAATGTCTGTTCTGTCATCTCAGCTAGTTAATGCTGCACTGGCATGCTTTTGGAGCAGTGCTTTCACCACAGATCCTGATTATTGGTTAACTTGGAGACCATTACCTGCAACAGAGGAAAAGATCTCTTCTAAATCCCATACGAACACTTCTGTGAAGGTTTGTCTCTTCTTACCTTATCGAGCAACTAGGTTGAAGGCCATTTTATGAACTAATTCAACAGCTTTCAAAAACGATGCTATAAATTCTAGCATAGCCAATGCAAGATATGAACAATCTAACTCTTAATCTTTTAATTTAGGGCCCAGGTATTTTGACCCGAGCAGTTTTCTCAAAGTGCTTCTTTGAAATTCTAACTAGCAGCAGCAAGACAAGCCAGTGGGATGTCAGTGGCCTTCCTGTTTTGTCATCATCCCATGTGACACTGGGTGAATGGATGGAGAGAGCACACCAACTTCATGAAGTCAGCACAGCGCTGTGGACCAACCAAGCTGTTGCTTCAATAACAGACTTTAGGTATTAAGACCTTCCTTCTACATGTGTGTTACTTAAACCAGGCATGTTGCTGAAGCTTGCTTACCATGTGTAATCTTTTTTCATTCATTTGCCTCCAGATATACAGATTCTAGACTACAAGGAATAATGTTAAGCAGACAACTCTCTGCTCTGGTAGATCTGGTTCCACCAGATCTTCAAGAGGAATTTTTGAACTGCTGTGAGAAACTCTTCATGAAGGATCTTGTTTCATATGAGTGCCTTCTCAAGATACTTAGAAGCATCGCTGATCAGGAGTTGCTTCCCAAAGAATTCATTGTTCTCCTGCTCACTTGTTTGGAGCAGTTCTTTGGGGAAGGGCTTAAGGATTTACCAGAAACAGCTTGGAGAGGAAGCCTCTGGGTGAATATTGGTTTGCTGCAGATCCAGGTGTGGCTTCCACAGACTAGATTTGATCCAGCTATTAAAAGAGAATACAAGCTCAAGTATGCCAAAGAAGAGGTGGGTGTAGAGTTGTTGTTTTTTTTTTGTTTTTTTTTTTAACCAACCCTATAGAATATACATTAAAAAAAAATAAAGGTAGTATAAAATCTACATGCAGGAGTTTGGTTTGGTGTTCTTGGGCAAATTCTTGCTCACAGTTTTCAAACTGTGTGATTTTTAATGTGTTCTATTGTCCACAATGATGCTGTACCTACTTTGTTGCCAAGACCCAAATCTCAGAGAATGGTTTATACTTGCCTTTTTAGTTACACCAACTGGAGTGTGAATGGAAAACAAATGATTTGTCATCCCAGCTGCGTACAGGAAAAAGTCTTGAAGACAAAGCACTCTCCAACTACATTCATCCCCACCTCAGGTAACTTCTTAGGCACTCAGCTCTTCTCTTTTAAGCTGGAAACATTGTCTGTGAATGCTGAGGCTCAGTTTTCTTTACAGTATTTGTGTTCTTCTGTAGAAAGTAGGCTTATTGATTTGAAAGTAGTAGTTGGCATATTGACATGATAATTTAAAATACAGAAGCTGTTCTGTTTACTAACAGAAATTAAGGAATTGTCTGTATGCATTTCATACTGTCACAAATACAACAATTAAAGTAGTAACCCTTAAATCTTGAGAAAATTGAAGCTGTATCCAGAAGTGAAAATAGTCACGCTTCACATTATGGTAGTTTTGTTAAACTGTGATAATATTATTGACAATGTGAAATGAAGAGGATCACTTATCACTGTAACTCCTAAAAGCTTCAAGATATACCAGTGCTGCTTTGCAGAATTTTTGTAACTAATCTATGCTAAGTAGAAAACTCCAGATGCTGTTTTGCTGTCAGCCTTTGCCTATGTTGCTGTGGTTAATATCATATACATGGAATACATGGTGGAAGTTGAAAATTTGTAGCCATTGCTCTTTATTTTTAATCTGAAGAGTTTAAAGAGGAAACACTAAGTGGATACTAAGGGCTTAAAGGGGATGATAGTTATTGAAAGCCTATTCTGAATGGCTGAGTTTTACCTATTTCTTTTTCCTTAATGCTCACAGAGCTGTTAGGTAATGAGCAAAAAATAAATCACTGTATTGGAGAAATGTTGGAAGAATGAGAAGACAGGGTGTATGTGTGGTATATGGGTGTCATTTCTTGTTCTTATCTAATTTACTGTTTTACATAAATTACCAGAATGTTTGTTATGAATATTCCATTGTGTTATTGTGCAGTCTGTGAAGTATGTTTATTACAGTTTATTTCTGAACTGATCATGTTGTTTCATAACAGGCTCTTGCAGGAAAGAATGCAAAGACTGAATGAGCAAATAAGTAGTCTTTCCAGAAAAAAAGCCTTCAGGCCTCCGGCTCCACTCTACAATGGCTTGTACCAGGAGGCTCACCAATACATCAACAGCATAGCAAAGGTTTCTTCAGTCCAAGATCTTTTAGCCCGTCTTCTGCAGTTCCTTGGTGGGCAAAGACCTAAATCACTCCAGGCAATAAAAAATCTGTTAAGTGAAGAAGCTTCTTGGCAACAGTCACACCACCACTTCAGAAAACACTTAGCGGACGAGTATGCTGTATTCCCTGATACCATCATTCCCATGCAAGCTGCCATCTTACAATTACAACATGGCATGCGATTAGTAGCTTCTGAAGTTTATGCAGTGCTCAATAGTTGTGTTTGTCCAGCTGATCTCACCAACCTCCTTACTTCTTTGTTGTTATTTCCATCTGTTGGCCGCTCTTTTCCCACTTACTTCACTCGTGCAGAAATTTTATGCTCAGTGAATTCAGTTGAGGTCCTTCATGGACTTAAGAAGTTTTCTCTGAAGCACTCTGAAGGAGAATCTGAGGGAGTACAGAAGTCTTGTCCAACTCTGGAGCAGCTCCTAGTGAATGCACTATTGCATCTTCAGTGCCATGTACTATCCAAAGGAGAGATGGATCAGAAATCTCTGCAGCTTTTTAGACATCTGTGTCAGGTAATATCTGAGGCCTAATGGCCAGGGTTCTTGCACTGAACTACTGTGGTAACTGTTTGTATAATGCTCTTAAACTTATTTTTCCACAGAACTGATGAAAGATGATTTAACACACTACCCTAACTTGCTTGTTAACTTGCTTGCATTTATCAAGTCATGAACTCAAAGCCTGTAATGGCCACTAACAACTCCCCATCAACCACCATCCCACTAAAAAAAACCTCACCAGCACTCCACCCAAAAAAAAAAGACAGAAAAAGAACCACCCACAAAGCTTTGTGGAAAGTTTATTTATTAAATGGTTAAGAAAGCCTATGACTTGGCCAAGTACTTGACTCCATGCAGCTGAGGTGCTTTTTCTTCACTTGAGAGTAATTTACTAATCTCCATTCAAATTAGATTATATACTGCTGCAGACTCTAGAGAGTTAAAGAGCCAAGCAAGGTAATTCTGCCTCACTGAAATATTAGATTTTGAGGATATTTTAAATATTACTTTGGGTCACATAATGCTGCTTTGTGGTTTCCTAGGCAATCATAAATGAGTGGGATGAACAGGAACGCCATGCCCAAGAGCGGGAGGCAATGGAAAAGAGTTTGTACAGATTCAGAAGTAAAACTCATGGGAAAGGACAAAGTGAGGAGGAAGAGGAGGAGGAGGAATTTAGGAGGAGATTTCCTTTTCATGAAAAGGTAACAACTGTAGCTTTATAAAGAAACACAAAATTTATGTCTAGAGTAGCTGCTGAAAATACATGCTGTAAGTAAAATGAGATGGGGCATTAAACAGTTCTTACTTCAGACCATGAAAATGTGGTTTAGAGTTTAAGATAGAAAGATAGTAAATACTGTGAGGTTTAATTTTTTCCTTCCTTCAGCTAGCTTATCCTGAGTTAAAAATTAGTGACAGTACCATTAGTTATTCACTATAAAATTATGGAACGTGATTCCCTGAGCAAATAGGATCTGCTGAGGTTTCATTGCCTGTCTAGAGTGCCAGTCTCCCTGATTAAATCATTGGATTGAAGCTCTGAGACTTTTTTTAATGTGACTGGGAAATTGAGACGTAATAATTGGGATCTCCAAGTGATCAAACAGCATTGAGGCAACTTTGCAACCATTACAACTGCTGGCGCTTCTTCTGGATGAAACTGTAATTGATCTTTGATTATAATGTAATTTGTAGGACTTTGAAGATATCACAGCTCAGGCAAGTCTAGAAGAAAAAATGGAAACTGGAGAGCCATTGGAAGACCAGCTGGAAGTTGATAGAGCCCTTTTGTCCAAGAGCTCCATGCAAACTGTAATGATGGTTCATCAACAGTTGTGCTTAAACTTTGCTCGATCCCTGTGGTATCAACAGAGTCTGCCTTCTCATCAAGCTAAACATTATCTCAGTGCATTTGTTTCCTGCTATCAAACCGGTGCATGTCTGGTGTCACAGTTCTATCCTTTAATTGGTAAGTTTACTAGCAACATTTCAGATATTGTACAGTTTTAATTTTGTAATAATGAGTTACAAATGAATTGTATAGCAGATCTTTAAACAGGCCAAACTTAGGGGAAATGAAATGTGCAAAAAAGGTTTGTTTTCATTTATAATGGAACACAATTGAAGAATAAATCTACAATATAGTCAGAAATTTTAAGTGCTTACATCTGCATAATCCTGTGGAAGATGATGGACTTGCAGAAATTATTCAGAGTCAAAATTGGAAATTAAGTTCATCAGGAAATTTATTTCAGTTGAGCTCCTGTAATTTAAAGCACAACAACAGAAGGATCTTCTTTACTCTGAATTCTGGCAAACTATGAAAATCATCATAGCAATGTGGAAGACCTCAGGATAATATTTTTCATCACTTCTTAAAGCAGAACTGTGTGCAGAATACATGTATGTGTGCAATTAAGAAGCAAATAGTGCAGCAGGACTGCTATTTCTGCAGTCATTTATTTTTGTGTTTATATCTGAAGTGTAATTATGTGAATGTGTTTTTTTGTTTTGTTTTTGTTGGATTACTTTTTCACAGAGCCTCGCTAATAATTTTGTAGCAAATGCCTTCTCAGTGTCAGTTTATGAACTGAGGAACTGGGATCTCCTTGCTGATCACAGCCCCTACCTTTCAGATACTGTTCTTTTTTAATATAGCATTTTCATAAAGAAGATGCTTTTGAGTGGCATAGTCATCTATGTTTGCAGTATATAACATGCTGCAGTTCGGGATACAGGGAAAAATGAACTTTTCCTGTACAACTGAAAAAGATTAATTAATAGCATATGTGATGTCTTCTTTTCTTGGCCTGCTAGGTGCCGAAATGAACAATAGTCTTTTGGGAAGCCAGCTTCTAGTTAGCACTCTTCTTCACAATACTTTTTTTGAGGAAATGACTTCAGATCTTGTGCTACAGCAAGATGGCCCATATGACTTTTACCAGCATCCTAATATTAAGCAAGTCCGACAGTGCCAACCCTTACTTGAGAACTTTGCTAAAGAAATAAACAGGTTGCTGCAGGAATGGCCAGAGCATCCAGTACTTCTGCAGGTAAAGACAACTCAACAAATGTTTGGGAAAAAAAAACCCAAAGTGTTTTAGAATTGCTTGTGTGTCTAAATATAAATATAGATAGGCATAGACCTCTGCATGCATATCTGCCCAAACATCAGTGTTACTTACACAGACATTTTGAAGTCGTGCCTGTTTCTTTGTAAAGAGATATTTGGTACTCCTAGCAATTCAGCTTTACTTGTGAAATGCTAAGGAACCTTTACTGCATGCTCTGTTCTTACAGCTTTCATCAGTCTTTGATCTGCCATACTTAAAAGATTTTTGAAGTCTTAAACTATTCAGGCTTCTCATTTTTCCCAGAATGCTTTTTTTCATAGTGTTTTAAAAGTTGCTATCTTTGTTACTGCTTAAGGGGTACTGTGTGGCTCTTAAGTTATTTCTTGAAGACTAATGAAGAAACTCAGGATCAATCGGAGCTCCTAACATGAGGTCATTTGTGCTCCTTTCTGTGAAAACACTGACATTTAATGAACTACTAGTAAGCTAATACTCAACTGAAGAAGCAATTGAAAATAAAAAATATTCTTACCTCATTTTAGTATGGTAATGCTAATACAAATTAACATAAGCATTTGAGTCAGATGCTGTAGTTGAACACTTGTGCTTTATTCTGCAGCTGTTAGTTGTGATTGACAGAATCCAGAGCTTTCCACTCTCTAGTCCCCTCTCAAAGTTCCTGAATGGCTTGGAAATTCTTCTTGCAAAAGCACAGGTAAGAAGAGGGCTAAGGAAAACTTTCTTTTCTATCATTTATTCTTCCTTATTTTATGTAGGTACCATGATAGACAGCTTTCATTTGTTAATGCTTTCCAGGCTTTGGGGAAGTGAACTACTTCATGCTGCTAGTTTAAGGAGTTAAAAAGACGATGGAAGAGTACTACATGAGTCTTGCTCTGCAGACACTAATTTCTTGCTTTCTGTGACGAAACTGTTGTTTTGTGTTGTGTTTTTTCTTGTTTTGTTTTTATTTTCCCAGGACTGGGAGGAAAATGCTAGTCGAGCTTTGTCCCTGCGGAAACATCTTGACTTGGTCACACAACTGATTATTCAGTGGCGTAGATTGGAGTTGAAGTAAGAATTGTTCTTCCTTACTGCTATTTTTTAGACACAAAAATTCTGTCTCCGTATGGAGACTCCGTATGTATTATTGCCTTATCATGGAACATTTTCTGTGTGTGTGTGTGTGTGTGTGTGAAGTTGCCATAGAGCATAGGTATGCAAATGAAAAAGTAGTTGAGCTGGTTCCAAATGAGCATGTCCATCCCCATATTGCCTTTTGTGGTGACTGCGTGTGTACGTATGTGCATGCCTCAGGAAGGACAGAAGCAGGACGCAGTAGAGTAATTCATAATAATATTTTCCCAGCCTTCTCCTGTTTTTGTCCTGAGGGTTGCTGAGCCTGTAGTGGTTTGTCACTTTAACAATCACTATTAAATTTTACTCAAAAATCATTAGCCAGTCTCCTGTTAAAACCGTGTAAAATTTTTATGTCCACGATACGCCATGATCAGGAATTCTACAAGTCCACCATATATTTTGTGAAAGAAACTTCTCAGCCTGGCTCCGACTGGTTTTATTTGACAGTTCCTATTTCCTTTGTTTTTTTCTCATAATTTTAATAGTGACAAAGCCATGATCTTCAGTAGTTGATTTTGTATATTAAGCATACATGCAGATTATCTTAATTTGCAAAATCTTCCTTTAGTTTAGCAGAAACAGAGAGTGAGTGTTGTTTTGGAGCCCATGTGATTCATGATCTTGATTAAATAATTACTATTTTTTCCTTCTCTTCCCCCACTAATTGGTTTCAGTTGCTGGTCGGTAAGTCTGGATAATATTATGAAGCAACACGTAGAGAAATCCACAAAGCACTGGTTCTCACTCTATCAGATGATTGAGAAGTATGTGCAAGAGCAGACCAAGGCTGACATGGAAGGTAAATACTGTTCTTACACAAATAAGTGATACAGTTGTAGCAGTTACTAGAGATGTATAACTAAACTCTAAAATGTCAGAGTTTAACTATGCACTTTCAGGTGTAGTTTTTGTTCCCTTTGCCCTGAATAAATTCCATGACTCTGACACCTCTTCCGTATGAAACGAGCTTGACTTGGTATTTTTTCTGAAGCCACCTGCATTGCATAGAGTTAATATTGTGTAAGGGAAAAGCTGTCTGTAAAAGGCATCCTAAAGAAACACACCTGTTAATGGTGTGTTAGGGGCATATAAACATTTTAAATTGGATTTGGATTACAGAAAGCTTTCACTTGCAGCTGAACAAGGCGTCTGACTTTTTAAGCTGTGCAAAGCACTTCTCACATCCTAGCTGAAATGCTTCTAGTATTTTGTGTACAGCAGAAACAGTTCCTTCAGTCCATATACTTTTATACTTGCAAATCTGTCTGCTGGTATTCAAGTTATGTAAAGGAGGAAAAAAAAAATACTGCTGTCAGTCTCTAACCCCCCAAAATGTTACGACGTTGTGAGGATGAAAATAGCATTCCCTGGCGTAAGGCAAAGCTCTTCCAATCTTATTAGTAATTTATGTATTGTCTTGACAAATTCAGATCTCTGGGTTCTTTTTTGACATCTCCCAGTGTTTTCTCCTATAGGTAATGCTCTGAAGGCACTGTAATCTCTGCTAGATTCTTCTAAGATCTTTTTCTCTCTTGATTTTGAGGCAGTAAGGAATTGGTAGTGGCTAATTTGTAGCATGTAGATTTTCACGATGGCTAAAAAAAGATGTTAATTCAGTATCAAGTATTCTTCATGTGCTTGGTTTACTCTGAAATAGGGCATGTAGCTGTCCTCCTTAATCCAGTCTTACTACTACCTCTTTATTCAGTCTCCTTTTTTTGTTGGTTGTTTTTTTTTTTCCACATTTTTTGCTGTTTTTACTCATTATTAATTTAGAATCGCCTTTTTTTTTTTCTTTGTTTTGAAACTTGCCCAAAAGAAGCCTGATATTTAGTTGAATGTTGCAAAGTTTTCATGTCTATAGTTTTCATGCAGTGTTTCATTTTGTTTTCTTCCATCTCCTTTTAAATTTCTGGTGGAATGTTCAGAAACCGAGCAGATGAGCCTAAAAATGCTGGTCGACACACTACAGGCTTTCATTGAAGGATCTACACTTGGAGAGTTTCACGCACGACTTCAAGCCTTGCTGGTTTTCCACTGCCATGTCCTACTGATGCCTCAGGTAGCAGGAAAGGGTAAGTTGTTAGCATTAAACGTGGTGAGTATTCTTTACCTGGCTGTCATATTCCAGGCTTTCCAAACAGGTGGCTAAGAGCTCATAAATACAACAGGAGCTAACACTGCATTTTCTTGCTCTCACAAAGAATACCTTTGGTCTGTTATTCTCTTATTTTCACCAAACTTCGTGATTACAAAAAAAAAAAACAGGCTGCATTTCTGCTGTTGATACTGAGAATATCCTGTTTTGAAAGATTTTTCTTGTCTGTCCTTTCCAGACATTCTGTGCAGCATCCTGTGGAATCTCTATAATTATTATAAGCAGTTTTCAGAGTGTGTTGAGAACAGAATCACTGAACTTCGTCAACCTATAGAAAAGGAACTTAAGGTAAGAGAAAACTTCTTTTGGAAATATGTTGAACAGAGGAACAGTGGTGGAGTGGGTATTTGAATTTGTGTATAATAGCTTCGTTGGCCATTGAAACCATGTTATACTTCACATTTTTATTGACAAGATGATATTTTTATGGCACGGAGTTGGTGAAAGTTGTTAATTTTTGGTCTTGTTTAGCCACGGAGATTCCTACCAAGTAGTGAAGACCCTTTGGCTTTAGGTATGCATAGGCTTTCACATTTAAGTATGCATAAGCACCTGGCTTGTAGCATAAGACGGCTATGCAATAATTTGCGCATGTATGAAGATGTATTTTAAGACAGGTCATCATAGCTGATCAATTTGAGAGATTATTTTTTATATGCAAATACTTCATTATATTTGTATAAATAATCTCACTGATTATTTCTTTTAATAGGAATTTGTGAAAATTTCAAAGTGGAATGATGTCAGCTTCTGGGCTATTAAACAGTCAGTTGAAAAAACTCGCAGGTAACTCAGAACTTGAAATTAAGGAGCCATTTAGGGACTGATCATAATAAATGGCAGTATTTTATATACGAGTGTATTTGGAACCTTCTTTGTAGATTTCTTTGACTTAAAATTTGAATGCAGAAATGTTTATTTTACTCATAATGCAGTGGAAATGCATATTTCCAATAGCTGAGATATTGCCAGGATTAGATCACTCGGTGACTGTTTTGCTTTCCTTTGATAATTAGAACTCTCTTTAAATTCATGAAGAAGTTCGAAGTTGTTCTGAATGAGCCATGTCGGCCTGCTTTGGTGGAAACTGGTAAGGAAGAGCAGCTGGACTGCTTGCACCAGCAGGAGGAATCTGAGAACAAAGAGGCTAAAGTTCAGAAGCTAAACAACACACTAAGAAAAGTTCTGTCTGCTAGAACAGATTCTGCCAAGGTGACTGTATTCTTAAACCTAAGTGTAGGGGGGTTGCTTTGTATGTTCTCATCTATATGTTGTTCTTTACTGATTTATGGAGAAAAATCTTACATAAATGTCAAGTCTGTTGGGTATATCAACTTGTTGGTCTTTTTTTCGTGTTCAGTGTTATGGAACTGCAGGTAGGTGGAAGTGTAGCATGGAAAGACAATTATGTTTGGTGTTGACTTGGCACAATATTTACACTCTCCTGGAGATGATAGCAGTTGAACATTTTATTTCTTAAGTTACTGGTATATTGTCTGTAACTGTTTATTACTTCTTTACTGGTACACTAATATTGACAGGAGCTGGTAATTGGCATTGATTTCTTTTTGAAAACAAGGAGTTTCCTCACGTATTCAGTACTGAACTATTCCATGCTGAACCATGTTGAGTGGATTTTGGGATTTCAGGAGTTGAGTTTCAAATGAATGTGGAATTTTGCCCTTGTTTTTGAAGCAGTTTACTCTGTGTTAATTCACAGACAAGACAGCCTCAATCAAATGTGTGTAATTGGATTTTTTCCTTAATTTTTCTCAGCAGCCACTAACAGAAGAATGTCAGGATGTTATTACATTTCATGCAGATTCTCTTCAGTATCGCCTGCCTAAACTTACCAAAAAAATGAAGAAAATGTGTGTGACAGTTACAGAGAATAATTCATTCTTAAGTCTGCTGGAAAGTCTTGACCAGTTCACAGGTTAGATACTCATGATTTGCATGTCATTGTTGACTTTTTTAGCATGAGTGTAATCAGGAAATGTGTAGATACGTAGTTCCTTTCACAGACTGTCTTCCCACGGCTGATCAGCATTCACTGAAGTTTCAAATCTCTCATCATTCTGTCTGTCTTCCATGCAGGTGATATCATTGGTTCTGTAGTTGAACTGCAGAATTTAACATTTGATCAGACAGCAGATAAGGAGAAGCAGAAGTCAGAGGCCAAGCATATTCAGATGCAAAAACAACGGGCTTTGTCAGATCTCTTTAAAAGCCTTGCTAAAACAGGTGAGCTTTGATTTGAAATGTGCTTACTTTAAAAGTATAAAGTTATTAAGCATTTTACATTGTTGCCAATGCATGTAAATACACAATAATAGTATGTTCTTGAAGTTACCGAACCATTAATCCACAGAAGCAAGTAAGTCTCTTTCCCTTCTTGACATGCTGGTCCTTTCATATACCTTGTCTTCTTTGTACATTCCAGTGTATGTGAAACAGTTGCTTTTTTGAAGCAAAAATTTACGTTATCTCCAGTCAGAAGTCACTGCCCAGTTTATAAACAAAAGGGAAGATGAAAGTCCTATACCTATTCTCTTATCCAGAACTGAAGTTAAATTCTTTAAATGAGAGCCCATCTCTCAGTTCAGTGACTGGCAGAAGTCAGATTGGCAGTGGTGCAGTTGAGTGTGGAGAATGAATGGTGTGTTCATGGGAATCACTGTAGGAACCCCACTGAGAAGCTCAGTCTCCATTGCTGCCTTTGGTAGTCATAAGGTCAGGGAACTACTCAAGCTGTTAATTGTTGCCTTTTCCTTTGATTATACAGAATTCATCAACTGTTCTTAATCACTGAGCAGTTTAGAAACCAGCAAAGGCAAGCAGTCTTGTTGTCTGACAGCAGAAACAGCAAAACAGTTGTCTGACAGCATTCCACCAAATGATAGCCAGAGATAGAAACAAACTGAGCTTTGCCAATTTTTTTTTTTTAATTTTCCTTTTGAACAGCGTTTACCATTTTTTAGTGTTTCTCATGGAAGCCATAGCTTTCAGTCTGCAGTGATTTTAAGAATCTCAAAAAAAAAAAAAAATCAGTACCAACTTAAATCTCTACATCCGGGCTGCAGAGGTTAGGTTTTAGAAGTATATATCTGTAAATTATTCTCTTAGGTTTTATTTCACACTGTCACATGCCTTACAGGTTGAAGTCTTTTCTTTCTCTTGACTGCCATTACAAACTTTTTATATATGCAAGTCTATGTTTAGCTTATTTCAGCTGTGTTCTTTAGCTGAAGGTAGCTCAGCTATGATGTATTAATTTATGTAACTTGGAAAATGTTCAAAGACTTGTCGGGATTAGAAAGCATAAGGAAAAAATCATGCATTGGAGTTTTTGCATCTTAGTGTCAGCTACCTGACTCATGTTTTCTTCATCTGAAAGAACGAGGGCATGAAAAAATGTATTCAATTGTCATTCCAGGCTTGTCGTACCGAAAAGGTCTTTCTTGGTCCCGTTCAAAAGGCTATCATGAAATACTCTGTGTACATCCACTGGACTTACGTAATGCATTAGCTGTAGTCAGTGATATATGTGAGCTGGATGCCACGTATGTATACAGAATTTTTAACTCTTAGATTGTATGAGTCCTGTACTTATTAGAATTTATTGCATGTGGATTTAGATGAAAATTTTTGGATATTAATTTTAGTTTTTACATTTGTCCCCTTCTGTTTTCTCTGTTTAAAAGTCCTGTATGTACTGTACTGGCACATAAAACTTAGAGAGGTTTGGGTTTGTTTTTTGGTTTCTTCTTTTTTAGCATTGGATTTTTTTAATTTACACTTCAGACAACTTCGCTACCATTTTCACTGGTTCAAAGAATCCAGTTAATACATTGTTGCCTGACTTTGCTTGGGACAGTTTGTTAACATAATTTGTGGGTTGACTGCTAATGACTTAAAGATCAGTTGCAATTTACAAGAGTTAAGTCGTCAGTTGTTCTGTTTTCATCACTGGCTACTGGCATATTTCTTGAGAAAATGCATGGACTTTCAAAGTGGACATTTGTGCAAAGTTCTGTCTAGATGGAAGATGTTCCTGCAGACGTTTTTCTGGTCTTTCAAGAAGCAAGTGCTCAGATCTGGGGGTTTAGTTTATAATGTGTTCTGTAAGGGCAAAATGCAATCTTGCTTATCAAGATTAATTTAGCAGCATTTAAAAAAAAACAAACAAACCCACAGTTTAAGCTCTAAATGATATTCAGAGATTTGGTTTCTGCCTTAGGTTCTCACATGGTTTATTTAAAAAATAATAATAATAATAATTTCTGTTTACTTAAATATTTGTTGGGAAAAATGAAGAATTGAGAGCTCAATACATGTGCAAAATAATGTAGTGTAAGCAGATCTTTTAGGTTGAAGAGCTGACCTAGTAGCTGTAGTGTGCTGAGGTACTGAAATTACTTACCTTTCCAATGCCTATGTTTTATACTCTGTCAGGTTTGTGGCAGAGATTTCCTCTGCCTGGGATGGATGCCAGAAGTACTTCTATCGCTCACTTGCACGCCACTCTCGACTTCAGACAGCATTGTTGGCCCCTGCCAAGGTAAAGCAACTAAAAACAGGAATCCTACTTTTGTTATCTTGTACTGGAATCTTCTAGTAGTAAAAGGGTGATGTGAGGTATTGCTTTTTTTTTTATATGATAGAAGATATTTGGGGGACAAATATTAAATTCATCATTTTAAAGCATGTTATTTAATGAATGAACGATAGAATGAGCAGATTGTTAGCTAACAATTTATGCAGTGTACAATAATTCCATCCCAGCAGTTCCCAAATTGCTGCTGGTTCTTCATGAAGAACGTGTCTCAGAAGCTGAATTAAAACTTGGTAGGAGAACAAAATCAGGATTAGTGTTCATGAAAAATCTGTTGAGTTTTCTACATTGGAAATAACTGAAGACTATTCAACACAAAACATAACTATACATTGCCTTGCTTAGAAATTGATGTAAAATTGATAGAAGGAACAGATGAGTTCTGCCAAGTCAATATCACTTTTCCAGGAAATGGAGATCTCTTCCAGATGATTCTCCTCTCACTATGCTTTGCACTTCATTTTACAACATGAGATGGCAAATATTACAACTGATAGTTGAATAAATAATGGAACATATCTGGGATTTGTTTTGCTTTTTATCGTCAACATTTATTCTGCACTTGAATTCAGGATCCTTTAATTAAAAAGAATGAAAGTAATTGTCGGTAAATCTGGTGAAATTAATTGTAGCAGTATTTATGGATGTAAAAATTTAAGCTTCTGGGGTTCTCCTCTTGGGATTCATGTATTAATTTGGTCACTCTTTGAACTCAGTTCCTGATAGGAATTGCTGCAGTGGAAGTGCAGTTTAATACTACTTTTTGCAGAATGTACTTAAAAAACGGAATTACATGGAGTATATATGAAAGATGTAAAAGATTGAAGATAGTGGAAAGTAATAACTGTATTTTGTCTGCATTTTAATACTTGCTCACTTAAACCTTAGCCTTTCACTCTGTTTAGTGAAATGGAATGGAGGCGCAGCCACGTTGTTGTCACTTAATCTGCTTATTCATTTAACTGTTGTCTCCCTTCCTTCCTGTTTCTCCGTGTTTGTTTTCTCTAGGATATTGGACTAGGTAGTGTTGAGAGATGCAAAGGATTTACTGCACACCTCCTACAGTTGCTTGTCAGACAGAGACAATCTCTTACTGCTTTGACGGAGCAGTGGATCTTACTAAGGTATTTTGCATTAAACCGTTACAGCCTTATTTAAGTGTTCATTACAGAATTATTGACAGTAAGCTATTCCATTCAAGAAAGACAGAAAATGATACAGTAGAAAACAAATTCTTCCCCCTGCTTTTCTATTTCTCCTCTCAATTAAGCCCAAATGAGGGGTGTGGGGGGAAGTGTATATTTGGGATGGGAAAATAAATATTGTTTATCCCATCATTGCAGCTAGCATATTGGAGTCAAAATAATGGGGAAAACAAGTTAGGTGGACATGAAGGCTATAAAGTAATTATTTATGATGAATTGAACTGTTAAACCTATAGATCATTTGAACCTTTCTCGTTTGGTCTTGGCCTAAGTTAATTTTGGCTATATTCAAGTAGTTGATTTCTATTCATTTTCAAAATAAACAATCTAGATTGTCCTTTGGGCCAAAATGAAGAAACCTCAGCTGCCCAAGAAGAAACATTCTTGAACGCTGGGAGATAATAGGATGTGTTGGTGTGGTAAAAGTGTGCAGGAAGTCTTTATTACTTGATGGGATTTCTCCCATTGTATTTCACTGCAAACCCCACTGTTCTGTGCATTTCTGCTCATCACTAATGACATCTATTAAACTTGAAGCTATGTCAAAGACTTTCCTTTGTACAGGGAAGGAAATCTGTACAGGAGATTAGTGGTGCAAAAATGGCATTAACTATGTTATTACTAAAATAATAATTAAACAATAGCAGTAATAATAAAACAAATTCCATATGCACAAGTCTCATTTTATTGTATAACAGTGAAAATTAACATGAGAGTGTCAGGACTGGAGTCTAAGGATTATTTAAAAGGTTGGTGTTGACTCTGAAAAATCTCAGCAAGGCCTGTTTCTGGTGTGCCTCAAATATGCAAAAAATTCAGCCAATAAATTTTTAAATGTATGTGTATATCCTTTTAGTTTTTCCTAGATGAAGTTTGACTTCTGCTGCTTTCATATTACTTTGAACTTCTACGAACTTGGTCTGAAGGTTGAGCTTTTACATACCTTTTTTTGAGGTATGTAAAACTCTTGTCATGAGGTTTATGCAGTTTTTTTTCTTTCTTTCTTCTTAACCAGGAACCTCTTGAGTTGCATCCAGGAGATAGAAAAGAGATTGGGTGCTGACAAAGAATATAATGTAGCATTACCTCCTCAACATAGTTTTCAACAGTGGACTGACAAACTGCAGCAACTTTCCATGCAGTGTGTGATGGTTCTCGAGGAGCTGTCTTGGTTTATACAGTGCTGCCCAACAGAAGAGCTAATGAAGTGCAGTGACAGTGAAAGGACAGATGTCAAAGGAAATGTTTTTCTGAGTTCAGGACCTGAAGAGATGCTGGGAAATGTTGTCACAGGAATACATGACCGGATTCCCTCAGAACTTAAATATCTGTCTCCAGTAACAAGTGAGCAACTGCCTCCTGGATGCAGGATGAGAAATAAGGATCAGTTGTGGCTGCAGCTGTCTGCACAATTAGCAACAATGCTGGCACGTATGAAGACAATGAAAACAGAAGTGGACAAAATAAGACAACAGCCGCGTGAGACCTTGTTTTATTCCTGGTGAGTTCTACATCTGCATAAATTGAGTTTCTGTATGCTGTATGTTCATATTAGATGTATAAAGTCATCCTGAAGGTTGCCTTAGCGTATCTTAAAGGTATTGTTTAAATGTTCTTGAAGCTTGTTTCTGTTTGTTTTTCTTTCAAACTGCAGTGTCTGGCTTTTCAAACAACTGAATGCAGATCTTCTCTCAGTCTTCTGAGCAGTCAGGAAAAGATGGGTCCACCTCAGCTTCTGTGGTTGTCTTTGGTCCCTTGGGATTTCATCCCCTTTGCTCTTCAGTTAGTTAATGATGTAGAGTTCAAATGTAAATTAATAGAAGAAACTTATTTAAAAAGAGGCCAGAAGGCAGCTTGAAGGAAAAAAAAAAAAACCAAACATATACAGTTTGAAGTGAGCAAAAAATGAAATAGGCATAAATGGCTTCACTGCTTACTGTCAAATCTTGTATTTAAACTCAAGATGGACCTGAGCCCTCAGAAGAAAAGCTGTAGTCCTAATCTGAGGTGTTCATTCTTCTCTCTGTATTATAATCTGTCTTGTTGCAGGAGAGATTTTGAAGTTTGCACATCAGCTATGAGTTGTCTGCTGGAAATGTCAGCTCAGATACGAGGTGTAGAGTCCCTCTTTCACCTGGATGAGGAAGAGGGGCCAGCTGCAGATCAGATGGCTGTAATCAAGAGCCTGAAGTATATACAAGAGGAAATTAATAGTACATCTACAGACTTCACAGTTTGGAGAAAGCAACTTCTTGCTTCCACATCAAACTGTAGCGGTAAGGACAATTCTCTGGCAGTTTTGTAGTTCAGGAAAAGATACAAAGAATTCATTAGGTTGATTATTGCAGAAGATTGCTTATTCATTGCTGTTCCCATGTGTTCACTGTTCCCATGTGTTCACTTGATGAAATTCAAACTGAGAAAATTTGACACTGTGCAGTAATACTTTTCCCTTTAGTTTCTGGTGCCAGCAGTCCTTGTGTTATAGCTGTAAATCAGAATTAGCCAGGGTTTGTTAGTACAAACTGCAAATGCTTATCATATTCCTTGCATAAGAAAACTTACAAACCAGTAATTCAATGTGTTTCTATTTTAAATCTGTGTTATGATTCAAAAGGAAATAAAGAGTCTGATGAAGAATTTGTGGAGCGCTTCTCAGCTCAAGTGGAAACAGTTATTCATGGTGTTCTGTATGCCATCCAGTGTTTGGTAGAGAGAAAACAGAAAGGTGGAGAAGAGGAAGAAAAACCTCCAGAGGAAACCGGTGAGACTGTTAATTTAGTCAAGGGGTAGTGAGAGAGTTTAAACTACTTGAACCTAAAAATACCAGTACCCAAGGAAATTTCCATTTCAATAGTTGTGCCCATGAACAGATAGCATGAACATTTCTTGTTTGCTTGGTATAACATTTTAGAATATCAAATGTGATATCCATCTCTTTTTTTGCCCCCTGTGTTTCAATGAAAGATGATACAGCTTCATTGGATATGATTAAAGCAGGACATTTAACTAAACTTTTGGATGAAGATATTTCTGCTGATGTGGAATCTTTGCATGTACAGAAAGTAATTTCAGCAGTTTCAGAGCTGATGGAGAGCCTGAAATCTTATGGAGAAGATTGCACCTCAGATAAACATAAGGTAAAATTGTTTTTCTTGACAGCTTTTTGGCTCAGGGGTCTCAGTAGTTCAGAATCATCAGCTGTGGTGGTTTAACAGAAATTACTTCTTATTGTTCATTACCGTAGAACTAGAAGTATGTGAAAGAACATAACTGAATGTAGTTATGCTCTTTTGTAATGTAAAATGCAGGAGGTCCTTTAATAAAAAGGAAAAACGCTAGTTTTTGTGAAATGTGAAAGCTTGAAAAAGCTCTGCGAAATTTATATTGTGTTTAAATCTGCCTACTGATATTTCTGGCTTGAGCATCTGTTTCCAGTCTATAACCCTCTGTGAGGTACATCTTAATTACTAGTAATTACATTACCATGCTTGACAGCTGTTCTTTGATTTTGTAAATTTTTTCTTAACTGCAGTTCTTCAACCAGTCCTGCTATTTACTGGTGCGTGTAAAGCCCATGCTCTGCAAGTTTTTAGACCTGATCCTGTTCTACCTCACTATTTCACTGTCATCTCACCGGAGTACTGGAAAACTGCTTTCTGTTCTAACTAGTATTTTCACAGAGCTTGCCCAAAAGGTAAGTTATTAGAGATAAAGGTGGATGTATGGGAAGCATATTCTTAATGTATACACTTAGTTTCTTTGTAAGAGTTGGGTAAAGACGTAGTTACTGGTACAGAATGTCTTCTGTTTGCCTTTATAGGGGTTTTGTCTGCCGAAAGAATTACTTGAAGATGAAGCTGGAGAGGGAGCAACACAGTTTCATGATTATGAGGAAGGTGGTATTGGAGATGGGGAAGGCAAGAAGGATGTGAGCGACAAAATAGAAAGCGAAGATCAGGCAAGTTGTTTTTTTAGGAGAGGGGATAAAGGGAAGGTGGGAGTAGTTTAAATAAAACTGAAACTATATGCTAAAGAAAGGCTGCTTTTGGTTACTTGTAAATACAAATGCAAGAGTTTTTAGCTATTTTTGTTAAGTTTGGTTTCACTAGAATTTCTTTCCTGAGCAACTTTGTTACCTGTGCTATTGTTAGGGAATAAAAAAGTAATTTATGCTGGCTCTGTGTCAGTATTGAAGGTCAGTTCAGCCATATTACTGAAAGTATTGTGTACTTTTTTGTTTGAATGGTTTTGAGGAGAAATATGCAGAGTAATAGAAAATGCCAGGCTTTAGCTTGATGTGTTTGGGTGGAGAGACAGCTCACGTGCAGAAGTTGTATAGTGTGGTTAACATGAGTTTGCCTGGACCTTCAGTCTGAGAAGTGCTAGGGAGAGACATGGAAAAATTCCTCTGATGGCTTCTGGGAAGTCATGTTGAATGGAGAACACTAATAAGAGGCCCAAGATAGTTGATCCAGCTGGCTCTGAGCTGGTCTTTACTGGCTAACTCCAGTTTGCATCATATTTATGCAAACTTTATATTTAATATCACTAATTGCATTCAAGAAATGAAGAGCTAACTTGAAAATGGCCAGAGGATACTACAGATAACCTTATGTGAGATTATAGTTTGGCTACCTACTAATAGGACAGTTCCTTCTCTTGAACAGATGTGATAATTTTTCCTTTAACCCAGCTTTATGAGTGCACAAAGCCCATCAAAACTTGAGAACAATGTTGTGAAAAAATGAAACACATCAGATGTTTCAGGTTAAAAAATATATATATATATATATGTGAAGTTGCCTTCAGTCTCCCAACTAGGTTAGCTTCTATCTTTCTATGTTACTGTTGTAGTACTTCATGTAAACTTAAATATATACACAAGGTTCATTGTAACTTTTGTCTTTACCAATAATTCAGATAGAAGACAGTTTTAAAAAGGGTGAGGAGAAGGAGAAAGAGGATCAAGATTCTAAGCCAGATATTGAAGGAGAAGACAATGCAATTGAAATGTCAGAAGACTTTGAAGGAAAAATGCATGATGGAGAACAGGAGAAAAAAGGTTTGATCCTTCCACTAAGGCAATCTTATAAGAAGTGTAATAGATCAGTCCAGTGGTTGATATTTTTATGTATTGATGCGTATGCTGGAAAGTCAGCATTCAGCAACAAAAAAGTAGTGCCATTTGTATATGAAAATTAAGAAATTTTAATCTGAACACTAAGAAGTTGAAGATATTCAACTCTTCTGTGGAGGTTTTGGATCAGAGGGAGCTGTTTCTTTTTTCCTGTTGTAAGATGACCCTTGGACAAGGGTTAAAATTAGTCACTGACTTTATGGATCTGTTGAATATCAGCAGAGCACTTACAAAAGAAAATATGACAGTAGTTAGCCATAACTTAAAATATGAGCAGGGAAGCTAACTTTTAAGCAATGGTGATAATTCACTTTTCCCAAATGTTACTTTTTCAATTTGCTAGTAGTCCAAAAAGTAGCAGTTCTTGCACTTCAGAAGGTAACACCTTGAACATCTGCAACTAACATGACTTACAAATTACAGTAGTGTTAATCTGCTCAAAAAATCTGAGAAGTGCCAAGAATAAGCTCTTCAGCACAAGAAAGGACATTCTGAAACTAGTGAAGTGAAATGGATCTTTCCTCACCCTATAATGCCAAAACATTTGGAAAAAGGAAGTGGGAGAGAGTAAGGATTAGAGAATTAAAATAATCCGCATTTTTAGCATTTGCCACTTGTTAGAAGAATATGTCCATCTGTTTGTCCAAGAGAGCATGCTGAACCATCTCATTAGATCCCTGCTCTTCTGGATGTCAGTGCATGCATGGTCTTGTTCTGCATTGCTCCATTAAATCCATAGAGTGAAGAATTTCAGGTGTGAAATGTGACTGCTTGTTTGTTTGCTCTATCTTCTCTGTACTGAGACATATCCTGAACTGTACACAGAAAATGATGAAAAATCCGATGAAGAGGAAGAGCTGGATAAGCAGATGGGAGATCTTGATAATGCTGAAGCTGACAATAAACTGGATGAGAGGCTTTGGGGGGATGAAGATGATGATGATGATGATGAAGATGCCAGTAGTAAAGCAGAAGAAACTGGGCCAGGGATGGATGAGGTAAGGAGAAAAGTGATAGGAAGAAGAGTATCAAGGGAATTAAATTCTCTTATGACCTAGACAATGAATTCCTTTACATAGTGGGCTCTTTGGTCTTGGAAAGGGATCATTTGAGTATATCCTAAATTATTTAGTGTTGTCTTTTTTCTGTAGGAATTGGTGTCTTGTTTATTCAGATATTGGGAAGCAGGTAATATAATTGAATTTATTTTTTTTTTTAATTTTTTGTTTAATAGGAAGATTCAGAGCTTGTTGCAAAAGATGACAATTTGGGTACAGGAAACAAAGATAATAAAAAACAGCCTCCCAAGGATGAAGAAACAGAGAATCAAACAGAAGACAATGAAAACAAAGAGAAAATCCATGAGCAAATTGATGAGGTAAAAATTATTTGGACTACATGAAGTATTTTGTTGCTAAACTGTATTCTGTTGCTCCCATGATGCTCTTTATTTTAAAGGTGAAGTACACCAACTAGTTCATTTCAGAGTCAATAGTTGACCACATTTGTATTGTTATATGTATATTTCCTGAGGTTTAGCCCCAAAATAATTTTATTTGCATTAACCTGAATGTGTAATGGCTTCCAAAACAGGTTTACACTGAATTGCCATTTTGATGGAGAAAGCTAGAAAGTCCTTGATCTGTTGTGAGTAGCAACAGAAGCATTCAGTGGACTCATCCCAAAAATCTGCCTATATTGTATAGCATGCAAGAGTGCATTTACCATCTGCAAGAGCTTAGATTCTGCTTAGTCTTTCAGGAAAATAGTATTATGAGCACAAAGTATGCTGTTTCAAAGGAATACCAAAGTATATAGACGGTGGTAGTTGCACCTTGGTGAGTAGCCGAAATCCATTGCATCTCTCATTCCCTTCCTCAAAGGGATAAGGTTAGAAAATACAGTGGAAGAAGGTTCAAGGGTTGAGATAAGGATAGGGAGCTCACCAATTACCACCGCAGGCAAAACAGAGTAATCGCAGGGAAATTAATGTAATTTATTGCCTATTATTAACAGACTAGAGCAGTGAGAACTAAAAACAGACTGAAAACACTGTCCTCCTACCCACCCTCTCCTACCTCCTCCCTCTAAGGGGCGTAGAGGAATTGGGGCTGTGATCAGCCCCTGATGCTTTGTCTCTGTCACTCCTCCATGATCACTCTCTGCCCCTGCTGCCTGTGGATCCCTCCCACGATGTAGTTTTTACCCAACTGATCCCACATGGATTCCCACAGGCTGTGGCTCTCCCGACACTGCTCCAACAAAACTCTGTTGGACCATTGGGCCCCACCCTTCAGGCACTCTTCCAGCACTGCTCCCCTAGGTTGTAGTTGTGTCCTAGGGCTGCTCCTGTGGGGGCTGTCCATAGGCTGTACATCCTTCAAGCCACATCCACTGCTGCACTGTGAGGTCCTCTGTGGCTGTGCACGGAGATGTACTGTGTAATTCCCATGGGCTGCAAGGGGATGGCCTGCTCCTCTGCGGGCCTCTCCAGAGCTGCAGTGAGCTGCTCCTGTGTGCCTGAACTCCTCCTGCACTGACCTTGGTGCCTGCAGCGCTGCTTCTCTCCCATTTCTCCCTTCTCTCAGCTGCTGCTACATAGCAGTTTTTCATTTCTGAAATCTGCTCTCCCATAGCACATCCAGCCTCATTCATGGCTCAGCTGCGAGTCCCTTTGGGAGCAGCTGGAGCACTGCTCTGACATGGGACTCTGCTCACAGAGGCCACCCATGCGGCTCCCCAGTGCCAAAACTGTACGATGTAAACCCAGTACAGTAAATGCAGTTGCAAAACATAGTCTTTCCTGCTATTATACATGTGACTGTGTATCATTGGAAATAAATTTTTAATTGATCAGAATGTAATACTGTATTCAGTATTTCTGTGTCCTAAAGAATTCAATTATATCTCATCTGTCATCTTTGCCTTTTACCTCACTTACTATATAGGCTGTCTTTTTTTCCCCATCCTTTTCTTGCAGAGAGAGTATGATGAGAACGAAGTAGATCCTTATCATGGCCAGCAGGAAAAGCAGCCTGAAGTTGAACCTTTAGACCTTCCCGATAACTTGAACCTGGAGGATGATGAGAAGAGTGATGAAGAGAAAGAGGGTGAAGGTATAGCTGAAAATCTCTGAAGATTCCCAGCTGAAAACTAAGTGGAAATAGCGAGGGGAGAGTCAGACAATGAGCTTTATTTTTCTATTGAGTAGAAGGGGGGTGGTGGTAGAATTCCGTATAACAAGAAGTTAGAATTTCACTTCTGTATATTAAAATACCAAGATACCAAATGCAGATCAAAACTTAACATTGCAGCATTTTTCTTTGCTTACCTTTAATGCACACTGTGGAAAATTTTATTTTCCTGTGATCTAGTTGTTAAATCCTCATTCTAGAAGCTCCCTGTTTCATTCTTTTTCTATTTTCAGGGTTTTTTTTCTGATACTTAAATGCATTTGCACTGAAAGGCAACTGACCATCAAGAATATTAGATTAAACTTGGTTAATGGGAATGCATTGTTTTGTATTGTTAGCTACTAATTGTGACACTTAAAATGTATGCTGTAGAGAACTTGAGATTCTACGTACAGAAATCTCATTATTTTCTCTATTACGATTTTTTGATAGCCTGCTTAGGTTTGTTCTGATCATATCGGTAATATTCACTGTTTCTATACTTCACTGAAGAGTTTTGTATACCTTTCTGATTTTTTTTTAAATTCAGAAGAAGAAGAGAATGCTTTTGAAATAGATGACAAACCTGTTGATTTAAATGAGGCAGAGAATACGGAAGGTCAGAATGAAGAGAATAGTAGTGAGGCAGAAGGAGGCGATCAAGATGTAGAACCTGCTGAAGAAGGCATTACTGAAGAAAAAGAGGAAAAGGAAGATGAAGGGGAGAAAGATACTGATGATCAAGAAGAAGAAAATACTGGGAACACTGAGGAGGCAGAAGAGGAAGAATCACAACCATCTAATGAGGAAAAAAATGAATCTGCTGAAGAGGAGAAAGAGAAGGGAATCCCTGCTGCTGACCAAGGCCTTCAACCTCAGGTACAGAGTCATAAATAAAAGCTTGTATGTATATATTTTTTCCTATATGAGACTGACAGTGTTCTGTGTTACTTTGTGACAAAATTGATATTGTGGTGGATGTTAGTAAAACTCACTAGGAAGATGAGAGATCTCCTTACTATTAAACTGGTGTATTTCTCTTACCCATGTTCCTGTTACCACTTTGGCCTTCTGCTTCCCCATGCTTTGTAGAATGTTGAAATAAAACTGATCTCATTTCAGCAAGAGGAGGATAAAGATAACGCAGAGATGGATGAGCAGGTCCCTGAGTCTGAGGAGAGAATGGAGCATGAAACACAAGGGCAGACTGGGCAAGAAAACCTGCAGAGTGACAGTGCTGTAGAGTTAGCTGGAGAGGCTTCAGAAAGAGACCAGTCCAAAGAGGTGAGCTATGTGGACTTGTGTAGCGTTTCCAGCTCATACTTGTGAGTATGTTTTTAATCTATAATCGGAGAACTGCTGCAATATTTTAAGAATTGTGTCTAGGACTCAGTTTTCAGAATATAACTTAAAAGTTAACTGAAAAAAAAAAATAAATGAAGATGCCTTCCTGGCAGTGAAGTGTGTGTTCACAGTTAAGGCTAATTCTTGGTCTGTGGAACTGTCTCTCTGCCCTACACAAGAAAAAAGTTTGCAGTTATGAGCCATTTTTCATTCACACTAGAGTTTGATTTCTGACATTTGTCTGCAGCCTTCTTAATTACAGTTGCAATTTTTTTGGTCTCTCAGGAATATGGAAGTGGAGCTGCGAGTGCAAATCAATCAGAAGGCCATGAATCCACACGCATGGCCCGAATGGCTTCTGAAAAGCAAAGCAGGAAGAATACACAGGTTAATCTCATTCTTCTATGCTTTTAAATCTTTTTTTTCTTTATTTCTTATTTTTTTTTTAAGTTTTGTACCTACTTTGAATGACCTAGTCCTACCTGTTTGCTGGTTAATATTAAGTATCTCTTTGTTAGAAGTCACGTTCTAATTGGTATTTGGCTGCACATCACATGAAGTTCATGGTAGTAATTTTTCTCTATCAGAGTTTCAAGAGGAAACCTGGTCAGGCAGACAATGAACGCTCCATGGGAGATCACAACGAGCGCATCCACAAGCGACTGAGAACCATTGAATCCAGCAGTGAAGCAAAGCAGAATACAACTCAGTCTAAACAAAACGTGGAGGAGGCTGATGCGTTTGAACACATTAAACAAAGTTCTGAATGCTATGATGCACAGACCTATGGTATGTGGTGGTATTTCTGTGTGTAAAGAGTTGTCATTCCAGATTCAAATCCTAAAACTCCTATTTACTGTGGTTTCTTGCAGTACTTCACCCCTCCTCCTTCCAGTTATGCTTAATGTCCTTTTTTTGCAAGACATAACACTATTTCACTATGATAAAAGTTATTCTTTGGTAATCAGGTTCAGGCTAATGATAATGTATTTGAAAATATTGAATTTACTCATAAAAGTGGGATTTCAGTTTTTTAAACCTATTTAAAACTCTTTCTTTCCAAATCTTATTTTATCTATTTTGAAGTCCATATTGCTACCGCGTTTGCGAAATGTAGCTTAAAGCAACAAGTTCCTCATTCTGTATCAAACTGATGATCCTTTAAAAATATTCATCTGAACTAGATTTAATTAAATAAATTGCTTTCTATTAAAGTAATTATTCAAGTTTACTCTTCAGAGTTTCAGAGGAATAGCTCTTTGACACAATGTGGAACAGAAAAGTGAAAACTAAACACAAATGTTTCATACAAAAGCCCAGATGATCTCTTTGGAAGATCAGTAAAGATTATATGTAGTGGGCTCAGAATGTAGGTTTTTTTGTAACTGTACCTTTTCATTCCTCTCTCCTTAATGACTCATGTTGCCTTTGTACAGACGTAGCTAGCAAGGAACAGGAGAAACCTATTATGCCTCTCGAAGAAAATGAAGAGGGAGATCCTGAAGATACAGCTATGGAAACAGAAATGCAGGAGGAGGATCTCCAAGCAGTGGACATAGAGGAGCTGAAGCCAGAAACAAAGTCAACTGCCACTAAAAGTTCTGGTACATTAACTTAAAAACAGTTCTCAGTGCAAGCTGACACGCATGCTTAAACATGCACATAGGTATTTATATTCAAGTGTAGTGGATTCATCTGTCTTCTGTAAGACTAAAACATCTGATCGTAATTTCATGTTTCTGCAGCAGTATTCTTACTCTGGCCAGGTAACTAGTGTTAGCTTTTTCCTAAGTTGGTGAAGTGACAGAGTGCATTACTGCTTTCCTTCAAGTTAATGATCTCTGATCTTTATGTACTTCTATGAAGAAGTGAAAAGGAAACATTTTCCAGTACGTTAGACACAGTGGCAGTTCTCTTAATTGGCACATTAAAGTAGTCCTGTGTCACCAGCCACAGCACCATAGAGCTCAACTTTTTGGAGGTAAGTTCTGACAAATCTTCAGGAAGTTGAGAAGCTGGTCTGAGCCAAGTCAGGTGACATAGCACTGAAGTTGTCCTTGTGTCACTACTTTCTTTCATAAGTGCAAATGAAGTAAAACAAAACTGAATTGCTTATCAGTATTCAGTTTTAGGCAGAAGTCACTGTAGCCTGGAACTTTGAATGTTTTGGGTTATTTATTTTCTATTTATCAAACTACGCAAAAGCTGGATAGAGAGAGAAAATTGGTTTTGCCAGCCTGGATTCACCCGCTGTCCTCCACTCTCTTCAGTTATTTGCTCTGTTGGAGAGGGTCCACAGGAGGGTCACAAAGTTGATCGGAGGTCTGGAGCACCTTTCCTACAAAGACAGGCTGAGAAGGAGCTGGGTTTGTTCAGCCTGGAGAAAAGAAGGCTGCAGGCTGACCTCATTGCAGCCTTTCAGTACCTAAAGGGAGCCTACAAACAGGAGGGGAGTCAACTCTTTACAAGGGTAGATAACAGCAGGACAAGGGGAAATGATTTGAACTTTTGCAATATAGTTACAAGAGAAAACAGTTTGCATAAAGAAATGTGTTTATGTGCTGGGAGTTGCAAGGCCTTGGATTCGCCCTGTTCCTAGAATTGTCTTAAAATTTGTGCATTTCTCTTAAAAGTGCTCTTCTGAGCGTAACAGAGCAGTGTGAGAGATTTTCTAGGAGTCAAGATATAATATTGGTTTCTGTATTATATGTGATCCACGGGGTTAGTGATTAATTCTGTGATTGTAGGACCAGGTGAAGAGGAGTCAGAAACCCCAATTTTAGACTCTGACAATGCCAAGGACTCTACAAGAGAAAAGTTACCACAGGTGACTGAAGAGAAGCCAGAGAGAAGCAAGGACTCTACAATCCATACAGCCCATCAGTTTCTGCTGGATGCTTCCCAGGTATGATACTCAACATGTCTCTCCTTGCAGCTACAGTAATAGAAACTGCTTGTTTTCATTGATCTGAGTTAATGAAGCTCTGTGAACATTGAAGTTTAGAATTACTTTGATTCAGACAAGTCAGTACCTTGCTGTTCCTTAATAGCAGAATGAAAAGTAACACAAAACCAACTATTGTATATACAAATGAATGATGCCTTTAAAATGGAAATTCCTCCCTATCCTTATGTGGGAAGATCCCGTCCTCACCCCTTAAAAGAAACTTTTTGTTTTACTAACTGTCAAGAACTGTTTTGCTCAGATGAATCTACTGAAAAAACAATCAAGTGGAGCAGAAAGCTATGGGGCATGTGTGACCATAAAAAGGGGTTAGAGTGATGAGAGGGCTGTGCATCAGTGACTTTAATAATACTATTGTAGACAATAATTTAACCTCCTTTTTGTTGCAACACGCTGCTTCCTCAAGGCTGATAACAAATGTTCTATTTTATGAACTTTGCAATTCAAAACATGCTGTTATAACCTAGAAAAATCCTAGAATTTCACATAATAGCTGTGGAAACCACATTTTATCATAAAGTTTGAAATAGAGGCAGTCAGTGGTGTAGAAACAGTTGATGAAGTAAAAAGTAATTCTTTTTATGTTTGTTTTTCAGAAGTATTGAATTTCTATGCTTATAATGTAGTGTCCTGAGTACTGATGGTGGTGGAAGTGTTTTACTCTTTCTGCACACACCACAAAAAGGATCATGTGCCAGCTATGCCAGATATTTCTACCTTAGTGCTAAACATGGTAGTACTTTGGGGAAAAGGCTACTGAATGCAAGAGTGTTTTGCTTTTGTCAGAATAGATGCTTCTCTTCAAATTGATAGGCAAATCCTGAAACAGGAGAGGGAGCTCTTGCAGCATCGGTTGAAGAGTAAATGAGAAACATGAATGGGATAAAGTGCAAGTTCTCATCTTTCAGAGAGAGAAAACTCCCTCCATGTACATTATTTCTCCCTTCCTTAAGCCTGCAGTAGGTGGCCAGAGGGACTGCTGCTGCTTCTGACAGAATGAAAAGTTATTGGTACTGTTGGATTTGCATTTATAGGCTTATTTTTCTCAATGGATAATCTATGGATTATGCAGACCATACATGAGCATGATTGAGTTATGGTTTTAAAAATCAGGAATAGAAGTCACTGAAAGTATGGTAAAAGTTGAAAAAAATGTAATAAAATGTAGGTATCCTTTAACAGAACTTTAACAGAACTACTTACCATACAGTATTTGATGGCAGGCCAAGAGGAAGTGTCATTTGGTTCTTCATAAGTGCAATGAATGAAGATTTAAAAAAAAAAAAACAACCTGTAATTAACTGAAGCAGTTTCAATTTTGGAAGATAATGCCCATGTAATATTAAACGGTTTGATTACACTGTCATTAGATCTGATGTCTGTCAGGGTAGTTTATTCACATTATTCTGAAGTTCTGTATTGGATTATTTTCAGTGTCTATTACAGTGTGCCCAGCTTTGTTAGTATGTTGATCGTGTCAGATGTAGGAATCAGCAGGAGAAGTTTATTCTTCCTGTACATGGAAGCTAATCAATAATGGAGATTTAGAATGGATTTTTCATTCGAGTTTTTCATTTATTTTTGAGTTTAAAGGAATAAGAACAATACCTCTCTTACTATTTTATAGTCTGATAAGATTTGGGGATCATCAGATGTGTGAACTTATTTTACCATCTCATAAATCTCATCACTATGTTTCTAGCATGTTGTTAGAGATCCGGAAGAGTTGAGAAAGGAGCTTGAAAGGCAGTTGGAAGCTTGGCAAACACAGCAGTCTGGAAGTCCAGAGGAGGTTGGTGACCTCATTTTAGTGTAAATGCTTTCTTAAGAATCCTATGCTGCATTATTTTATTTTACTTACCGTCGAAACATTGAGGAAGTCAAGCAGGCTGGAATCAAAATACTCTGAATCGCATGGTTTAAATGTTGATTTTTGCTATGTTTAGCATAATCTGAAAAAAAAAAAACCCACCAAAACACGCTATTCTTAAAGCAGGATGTTTCAGATACATGCTGTATCACAGGATCACAGAATGGCCAGGGTTGGAAGAGACCTCAAGGATCATGAATTTTCAACCCCCCTGCCACATGCAGGGCCACCAACCTCCCCATTTAATATTAAATCAGGCTGCCCAGGCCCCCATCCAATCTGGCCTTGAACACCTCTAGGGACGGGGCATCCACAACCTCTCTGGGCAGCCTGTTCCAGTACTTCACCACTCTCATAGTAAAGAACTTCCCTGACATCCAACCTAAATCTTCCCTCCCTCAACTTCAAACCATTTCCCCTTGTCCTGCTATTATCTACCCTTTCAAAGAGTTGACTCCCCTCCTGTTTGTAGGCTGCCTTTAGGTATTGAAAGGCTGCAATGAGGTCAGCCTGCAGCCTTCTTTTCTCCAGGCTGAACAACCCCAGCTACCTCTCAGCCTGTCTTTGTAGGAAAGGTGCTCCAGTCCCCTGATCATCTTTGTTGCTCTCTTCTGGACCCTGTCCAACAGCTCTCTGTCTTTCTTGTACTGGGGGTTCCAGACCTGGATGCAGTACTCCAGATGGGGTCTCACAAGAGCAGAGCAGAGGGGGACAATCACCTCCCTGTCCCTGTATGCTATTTGCAGAAGGTTACACTACTGATAATGATAGAGAACCTAACAGGCTTTATCACAGAATCATTTACATTGGAAAAGGCCTGTAATATCATCAAGTCCAATCATTGCATAGCACTACCAAGTCCACTGTTGTGGTTTAACCCAGCAGGGAGCTGAGCACCACGCAGTCATTCACTCACTCCCCCTTCCTCCCAGTAGGATGAGGAAGAGTTTCAAAAGGAAAAAAACACAAAGTAAAAGCTGTTAGTAAACGGTTAGAGAAAAGGAAAGGGAAAATAATTATGACTTGTGTGTGTGTGTAGTATTATATATATATATATATGAATTTATGTAATGAGTGATGCACAAGCAATTGCTCACTGCTCCATGACTGATGCCCAGTTAGCCTCCTGAGCAGTGAAAGAGAGTTGGATGAACTCCCAGCCCCTTCAAAACTCCTTCTGCATGATGTCACGTGGTATGGAATATTCCTTTGGCCAGTATGAGTCAGCTGTCCTAATTCTGTTCCCTCCCAGCCCTTCATAAGTATTAGCTGAGAAGCTGGAATGGCCTTGGCTCTGTATAGCACTGTTTAGTATAAACTATAAACATTGCTGTTTTATCAACATTGCTTTTCTTCTCGAACCAAAACATAGCATCACACTGGTCACTCTAAAGAAAACAATTCCATCTCAGCTGAGACCAAACCGTGTCCCTAAGCACCACATCCCCATGGCTTGCCTCACTGTGATGCCAACTACAAGATGGCAGCCATTGCAAGATTTTCCCATATTAACAGCAGTGCTCAAGTTTCTGGAGGGAATGATCATTGCACATTGTGGTTTTGTAGCAGCAAGCAGCATTCTAAGTTGAATGCAATTGGTCATCTTTACTTATAAGGCACCCAAATAGTTTCAGCTGATACTCACTTCCTAATTGGTACACAGAGGTTTGTGCTTCCCAACTTTTTGGTTTTGCATAATTCACTTTTATTTCTTTCTGTGATATATGATGTTTTAGGAGAAGGAAGCAGCACAGTTGTGGCAGAGGTATTTAGTCCTGACAGCTCCTCTGTCACAGCAGCTTTGTGAACAGCTACGACTCATACTGGAACCCACTCAGGCAGCCAAGCTGAAGTAAGTTGGATCTTACTGAGATTTCTTTCAACTCTTGTTTTTTTGGGGGGTGAGGTTAACTTAAGTACAGTTGCAGCTCAGTGTTGTTCCTTGTGTTATGGCAATTATTCCTATTTGCAGATGTACTCATTTTACTTCTTTATTGGAACTTCAGATATTTGGTTTTTTTTATGGAATACAAACACTTAAAGTACATATCCTGAGGATATTGCCTCTAGTCTTTTTTCTTCTGTGCAGTGGTGATCAAACCAACTTAAACCTCTGAAATGTTGTTGAGTCATAGATGTTATTAAATAGCAAAACGTTGTATGTTTTTCACATAGTTGCAGACTGGAGGAGCATAAAGGCTTCTCTTCCATTTTAGGCATCTAGGGTTAAGAACTTAAAAGCACTGAACATCAATCTTGCATTAGAAGTGTGCGTTGTTTTTTTTAATCTATACCTAAATATGGATATTTAGAAATATTTATTTACTTATCAAAAAATTAATGTAAAATATTGTGTTTTGCTGCATAGTCCGGGATCTCCGGAACAAGATATTTACTTTAAAGTCCCATAACTATGCCTTTTTCTTTCTTGACTTTCAGAGGAGACTACAGAACAGGGAAAAGACTGAACATGCGCAAAGTGATCCCATACATTGCCAGTCAGTTCCGAAAAGATAAGATCTGGTTGCGAAGAACCAAGCCTAGTAAACGACAGTACCAGATTTGCTTGGCTATTGATGATTCCTCTAGTATGATAGACAATCACTCCAAGCAGGTAAAAATAAAACCTTGGAAGGGTTACAAGGAAACTGTCTCTGGCTGATGTGCTGTTTAACACAGAAGTGATGGTTGTTGGAAAGCCTGAGAAGTGGTGGTTCTAGGGCACTTATTTTTTCTGGTCTGTGGGCTTGAGCCCTTGTGATTTCATGCCTAAGAGAATTGTTGCTAAAAGGCCAGTGAATGTTAACTGAAAGAAATTTATTAGACAAAAGATCCTTTCTCTTCTTGACAGAATACTGAAGTTTGTCTAGCTGTGCAGGATTAAATATTAGTTCATGACAGATCTCTTGTAAATCTTTATGAAACACGCACGTTTCCTTCAAAACAGTTACTTCAGTGTTTATTTCACTAGCCCACCTGAGGTGGTATTGCTGTCTAAATCAACCAGCAGAAATCCTCAGATAGAATTGGTGTATTTTTATGGCAGTGGTTCTCTCAAATCTGTAACAGGAAAAACGATGGGCAGTCTCTTCATATGTTTTACTAGATGGTGACAAACAATTTTTTTCAGTACCTAAAAGAGAGCTACAGGAAAGAAGGGGACAGGCTCTTTAGCAGGGACTGTGGTAATAGAACAAGGGGAGGTGGTTTCAAAGTAGAAGAGGGAAGATTTAGATTGGATATTAAGGAAGAGGATTTTTACAATAAGAATGATGAGGCAGTAGAATAGGTTGCCTAGAGGTGTGGTGAATGCCCCATCCTTGGAGACATTCAAGGTGAGGCTGGATCAGGCCCTGGGCAACCTCCAGGTGTGGTGTCCCTGTTCATTGCAGGGGGACTGGCCTAGATGGCCTTCTAACTCTAAGAGTTCTATGATTCTGTGAATTTCAATAACATTCTCTGTACTGAATACTGAACTGTGAGGAAAAAGGTGGAGTAGCCCATTTTAAAATTTTTTTTTTTTTTTTTTTTTTTTTACATTTAATAGCTTGCATATGAATCCCTGGCAGTCATTGGGAATGCACTGACTCTTCTAGAAGTGGGACAAATTGCTGTGTGTAGGTGAGTTTATTTGAAAAGTTGATTCTTTCAGATTTCAGAAGGGAATGCAAGTACTAATTTATTGTTTATGTATTTATTATTTCCCAAAGCTTTGGAGAAACTGTTCAGCTGCTGCACCCCTTCCATGAACAGTTCAGTGACCAGTCAGGAACACGGATACTGCGCCTTTGCAAATTTCAGCAGAAGAAAACAAAAATAGCTCAGGTACACATGAATGCCTCCAGGGCACCAGGTTTGCATGTTTTCCCAACAAAAGCATTAGCTGCCTAGTGCTTGTGTGATCACTTTGTAATTTTTTTTGGTTGTTTATATCTGAGTGTGTGGTAACTCGTCAGGTAACAAAATGACCACAGTAAGGATTTTTTTTTTCCATTTTCTGTTCTGATTTATATCACTTCTAAGCATTCATCTTTCTCCATTTGTGTTTGGTCTCAACCTTTTAAGGTATAAGCTATTAATCTTGCTCTTATCTGTGGCCCAGTGACAAACCCCATCAAAGCCTATGGGAGCTTAAGAGGTTTTCATGTCATGGATTCCACTGTAGGAATAGGAAGGAACTTTGCTTGTCAGCCTGAGTGTTTGTCAGACTGGCCTGTTTCCTGAAAAGAGCTTTGTGTAGAAATAGTTTCTGGACATCAGCAAAGTGTTCTGCTTTTAGCCAGGTATTTGCATTCTTACCATTCCAAACTTGAATAAGATGTTCTATAAATGGAAAAAGGGAGACCAAAATACCTCAAATATAGTTTTACAAATAGTTTAACAAATGGCAAATTTGGCTGTATTTGACAGTTGATGTTTTTTTAATGAAGCGTATGTAATTTAGATAATTTTGCTGCAAGTCAAAGCCAAAGAAATAGAGTATTTTTTAATGACATAATTAATCACTTGAACAATTTACTCAAGTTTTGATGGCCTTATTAGAATTGGCAATTTTTAAATCCAGGTAATTGTGTTACATGATATATTTTCTAAAGGTTCCCTAGTTCAAAAGTATAGATCAAATTTGAACTTGAGTTAATACAAGTAAATGCCAAGAAATGAGTCTGTGTAGGTGGCCAAAATAATTGGCATTTAAAATACAGAAATATATTATTTAAAAAAGCTACATTATGCTTATTATTTTATGATCAGATAATTTTATCTTCTCATTTGTTTCCTCTGCAGTTTCTAGAATCATCAGCGAGTATGTTTGCTGCAGCACAGCAGCTGTCTCAAAATATGAATCCAGGTGAGCCTTTTTTGTGACTGTTCTTGTTGCCATGTCAGCAGAATGCTCCTGAAGTAATGCCTTGCCAGAAAGGCTTGCAGGGGACACAGGGCTGTTTGTTCAGATTCATCCAAAAGTAATCCCTTTTGTGCACTGCAGCATTCCTTTGTGATGTGAGAACAACAGGGAAATGTCCAAAACCAGTCTTTGTCCAAAATGAAATGCTAGTGTAGACACGCCTGTAGGTACCTGATTTTGAAGTAGTTTTGAACTCCTTCCATTTAATTGCAGCAGACAATTGTCAAGAAAGACAGTGCTGTGGCTCAGTTTCTTGGATATTTTCTATGTCTTTCATCTTTGTTTATGGTAGTGATGAACTGGTTTTTATCCCAGTTCTCAGTGGTTTTTATGCAGAGGGGAAAAAGCTCTTTTTCTTGACCTACTCATAAGCAGCTTAATGTTATGTCACAGATTTCTATTTGATAAAGATTTAAATTCCATAGGAAAATTGAGGGGTTTTCCATTATACCCATGAAACTAGCAACAAAGTAGTCTATTTGCCTTTTAAATGGCTTACTTTTAACTGGCTGGAATTTAAAATGTTCTTTGTGCTCAGAAACTGCACAGCTGCTTTTGATCGTCTCTGATGGAAGAGGCCTTTTCTTGGAAGGCAAGGAACGAGTGACAGCAGCAGTCCAAGCAGCTCAGAGTGCCAACATCTTCGTTATTTTCGTAGTGTTGGACAATCCTAACTCCCGGGTAAGCGTGTGAACAAGGGAGAAGTATTCAAATGATGTGAGTGAGAAGTAAAACAAATTGTTTTCTTGCCTTTGTAGTGCTTTACAACTGTATTATCTATTGCAGAAGTCAAACATATTTAGGGCAGTTTCAGTTTTTTATTTCTCAAGTCATCTAGGATTTCTCCCAATTGTGATGTTCGTCCTCTTTTATATTAAAAAAGAAAAAAAAAATCAGCTTCCATATCACAAAGTCTAAATAGAAACTGCCATCTTAATGGTTGTAGATTTTCTTCACCAGGGAAGTAACTGGCAGGCTGACAGATTCAGAATTTCAGAGACGGCTTGTTGTACCTGTTCTGCATGTTCAGTTTTGGTTCAGCATGATCACTTCTGACAGCAGTCTCCACTTGGTTTGAGAGCTGGAACCAGAATGAAATTAAACATCAGACAGACAAGAGTTGTGAGAGCCATGCCTGAATTGAGAAAGCTGGACTCCATATTTAATATGCAGTAGGAAATAAGTGTTTAGATTTCCTTGGCTGGGAGCTGAAATATCTGCAAGCTTTTCAGGGAAGCTCTGTCATGTGGGCAAACTTGAACTTTATTTTGAATTATGTGGTGAAGATTCTAATTTTGTAGTTAAAGTTCTCTAAAGTTTTCTACTTACAATTTTTTATTTTTTCATAGGAAACTCATTTGCACTATTTATTGTTGGAAAAAAAAAAAAACACAACAGACTTACCTTTCTGATAAACAATTATGATGCTCTGGTTAATCCTAGTTATGATGGCAAGCTAGAATTTTGAGTAGTGAAGTGCATTTTTCCCAAGAGGTATTATTTTCTGAACTGCTACACTGAGCATCTAAGAAGCTCCTTTCCAAGAAGCACAGTTGGAATTCAACCTGATAAAAACACTTAACTGCTTTATGTTAAGCTTTTGATTTTATCTATCATTTAACACAGCTTTTAATCTTAGGATAGGTGAAATTATCCCATATTTCAAACATTTATAAACAATGCATGTAGTTTAGTAGTCCTGTCATTTTTTTTTTTATGCAGGATTCCATCCTGGACATTAAAGTACCTATATTCAGAGGACCTGGAGAATTGCCCGAAATCAGATCTTACATGGAAGAATTTCCGTTCCCATTCTACATGATCCTTAGAGATGTGAACGCTCTTCCAGAAACTCTCAGTGATGCCCTCAGGCAGTGGTTTGAACTGGTGACTGCCTCAGACACCTTGTAGACAAAGCAAGAACCTTACTGCTGCTAAACTGCTGAAATACATGGAACTGCATTTCATTGGAGGGTTCCTAGGAATCTCTTCGGACAGGATTAAGGCTGCCCTCTGGCAGTCAGCCTAAGAACAGAATGGTCCAGGTGTATTCTCCCACATTTGTCAGAGATTACTCAGTGGTGAGACTGTGCTTCTTTCATTGGTTATTTCCTAAATAATGTAAAACTTTCTCCAATTTCTTTTGTAATAATTTAATACTTAAAAGAAAAACTGTATTTGCAATGTTCACAGGGGTAAAATAATTCCTACCAGTATCTGTTGCAATAAATACCAGTCTTGCTTCTTGGAAGGCATTTCTGTATGAGAAGTACTTGAGCTGTCTCACAAAAAGGGCTCTTCAGCTTCACCGGGGAGGCTCTTTGGGAGGCAGGCAGGAGGAATGGGGAAAGCTGGTGGTTTTAAACAACCAAAAAAAAAAAAAAAAAAAAGTACTTGAATACTCGAAAATGTTCTGCAGTTAAAACAAATCCTGTGTAGCTGTAGCTGATTTTTGTCTTCCTAATAGCAACGGGGAGCTCTGTGGATAAAGCCATGTGGTGATCCCTGCGCTACCAGGTGACACTGTGAAGTCTGCCCGTGTCCAAGGCAGACATTGAGGGCGTTTTCATTAATCAGATGTCTTTAAGCACAGACATGGTTTTTGTTGCAGAAGCTATGCATCTTATATAGTCTGTACTAATAAAAAGGTACCACTTTGTAGTCATGAGGTCTGTCCTGTCCTTTCTGTTGAACAGAGCTTGAATAAATTAACGAAATTTGCCAGATGGAAATAGCATTCTCTTGCAGTGCACAAATCTTGAGTTTTTGCGTGAAGATGTACTCTGGTTTACCCCCGTCCTCCTTCCGTGAGGATACGCCGCCTTCACCTCATGGGCGGCTCCGGGGAGGCAGACGTGTTGGCGCAGCAAATGGCGGCCGCTGTGCCCCGCCCGCCGGGCCGCGAGAGGTGGAGCCGTGCGCCATGGCCGCCAGCCGCCTGCCGCCCAGCGCCCAAACCCTGCGGCAGGTACGAGCGGGCGGCTCGGGCCTCCCCTCGCCCTCCTGGAGCCGGCACGGGGGGGCTGAGCGTCGCCGCGAGCAGGGCGGGGGGTTTGGCTGCCGATGCCGCGCTGTGCTCGCGGGCAGCCCTGGGGCCGGAGGCGCGCAGTGGGAGCGCTACGTTTTCGCAGCGGCCGCAGGGGGCCTGGTGGGGTGTTGTGGTCCTGCGTTTACGTGTACGTGCGTGTCCCCGCCGCGGGGAGGTGGCTCGGCCGCTTAACTTGCGGTTTGTTTTTTTCCCCCGAGCTATAGGGCTAAGGGCAGTCTGTTTTTCTGTGTGTGGAAGTTGGTTTTGCAGTGGGGAAATCTATGGGGAAGGCAGAACCCTGTGCTGGAAGCAGATGGCAGCAGCGAGGTGCGGGAAAAGGAGCTGGGGTTGTTGGTCAGTGCTTGGCTGAGCACGAGCCAGCAGTGTGTCCAGGTGGCCAGAAGACCAACAGCATCCTGGCTTGTACCAGAAATGGTGCAGCCAGCAGGAGCAGGGAAGTGATCGTCCCTCTGTGCTCAGCTCTGGTGGGGCCACACCTTGAGCGCTGTGTTCAGTGTTGGGACCCTCACTGCAAGACAGACATCGAGGCTGTGGAGTGCGTCCAGAAAAGGGCAGTAAGGCTGTGAGGGCTCTGGAATACAAGGCTTACGGGGAGCAGCTGAGGGAACTGGGATTGTTCAGTCTGGAGAAGAGGAGGCTCAGGCTGACCTTATTGCTCTCTATAATGACCTGAAAGGAGGTTGTGGTGAGGTGGGAATCGGCCTCTTCTCTCAGTAACAGCAGTAGAATGAGAGGTGACAGCCTTAAGTTGTGCCAGGGGAGGTTTAGGTTGGATATTAAGAAAAAGTTCTTCTCAGAAAGAGCGGTGAGGCAGTGGCACAGGCTGCCCAGGGAGGTGGTGGAGTCACCATTCCTAGAGGTGTTCAAGAACCGTGTGGATGTGGCACTGAGGGACGTGGTTAGTTGGCACGGTGGGGGTGGGCTGATGGTTTGACTAGGTGATCTTAGAGGTCTTTTCCAACTGTAGTGATCCCCTGATTCCATGAACACTGGAGATGGCTGCTGGCAGCAGAAACGCCTTGGGCAGCAGGCACTGAGGTGGTGGTGGCCTACCTGCCTGGGATGGCTGCAAACACCATAATGAGTTCAGCTTGTTTGTCTGGTTGTATGAAATTTAAGTTTCTTTGGTGCGATCAAAGTAAAGTTAGATCCTTTAAAAGGGAGACAAGGAGCTTGCTACTGATCTCAGAACAGGGCTCTTGGCACGGGGCTGCACACTGACCTCTATTCTGCAGTTCCTGAGGCGGCAGCAGGTGCTGCAGCTGTACAGGAGGATCCTGCGGGCCCTAAGGGACGTCCCTGCTGAGGCAGACCGCCGCCATCTGCAGGAGTGGGCGCGGGAGGAGTTCCGGAGGAATAAAGATGCTACAGAAGAGGTGAGTAGTGGGAGCTGGCAGTCCCCTGCCATGAGCTGTACTCCGTGCTGTGCTGTGGTTTTGTTTGCAAGCATCACAGCCAAGCTTGCAGGAACCTGTAAGCATCCTTTTGTTCCTTGGTGTTGGTGTTCTTTTTCTCTGACTTCAACTGTAAGCCAAACCAAACACAGCTGGGTACATGAGCAGAAATTATGGAAACCTTCACATTTCTTGTGTGCTTTTTGTCCTATGCTTTCTGCTTAGTTTCTTTTTCTAACCAACACTTAACGAATTGGTGGCTGAATTCCACAAAGCCTAACAGTACTAAGGTAAATGTAATGTTGATGGAAATACTGCTCATTTCGATTAATTATTCACTGTTGTTTTTTTTTACCCATGTCAGTGACTGTAGTATTAGTTGACATGCCGTAAAGTGCTGCATATTCTTAAAGTCTTGGCAGTCTTGTAAAACCAGTGTATGTACCTTCAGTTCAGGAGATTCAATTTTTGTTTTCCAGGATGCAATCCGGATGATGATTACTCAAGGCCATATGCAGCTGCAGGAACTTCAGAGAGCACTGAAGTTGGCCAAGTCCTGAGTGTGGTTGTGCTGACAGCTGGACTTTCATCTGCTGCAAATAAGCACAGTATTATTTTTGTCCAGAATGTGGTTATAATAACAGCCTTTGGTGATGTCCTGATAATACTTGAAGGTAGATCTACCACAGTGGGTTTGGATTGTTGTTTTTTTTTTTTTCCCCTTGGCTTGGTTACTCTTCAATGTGGAAATCACTCAGACACAAAAGGCCTTAAAGAACTGAATGGATGATGTAGCACATCCTTTAGGAAAAGCAGAAAACCCCCAAAATTACAACAGCAGTGTTTTGCCAGAGAGATGGAAGATAAATAGAAGCCAGCTTATTTTGTCTTTCTCCTGCCGTGGTACCTCTGTGTGGTAACATCTGTGGTGGTAGCAGCCTTTTCTCTACAGTGCTAGGGGTTTCTTTTTCATAAATTAAGAGAGCAGAACTATATGGGATAAATAAATGTGTCTAAACGAAACATGGTAAAATAATGTTTCATCATATGTCTTCTTTTTTCTAATTCTTCCTTTGTCTGAAAGTAACTGTGGAATCCTTTCTTATGAGGTTTATTTAAGCTGTATTTGACAAAAGACGTGGTTCTGGCAAATGGTGAGACTGTTGGGGGTTGTACAGTCAGAAGCCTTTCAACTTCTAAATCAGTCAGTGAAAGAAATGTATTTCTAAGTATTTTGCTAAAAATTTGTATTTTGTTAACACTTACTGGTAGAATGGCAGGGCTGCCACCCACACACTGGATCAGGCTGCCTAGGGCTCCATTCAACTTGGTCTTCAACTCTTCCAGGGATGGGGCATCCACAGCTGCTATTGGCAGCCTATACTGTCCATCACCCTCTGAAGGTGCCTCCAGAGATTGGGCAGCCACATTCTCAGTGCAAGCATTATAGTTTTGGTTCTCTACAGTTGATATTTAGTGGGAGAAAAAAAAAAAAAGTGAAAATAAGCATTTTCTTTGTGGTATCCTGAACTCCATGAACTGCATTCCTGCAGTCCTTGTCATTAACACGATGGCTTTACTGAGACGAGACATAGGGAGTCCATTTTACTGCTGCTCTTCTAGACAGCTCTTTTGTGCTGTCCTACTCTCTGAAGTAACTCACAACACCACTGTTCCCAGGTATAAACAGAAGTTTCATTCAGAAAAACAAGTCCTTTTTTCTAGTTTAGTCTCTAAAAAGAGGGTTTTTTTTTCAAATAGTACTATATGAAAGTCTGTGCTGGAACAGCCAATAGTGCCCAACAGCCTTTGACAGCATGTTCTTTTAATACTGTGCTTCAGCAAATAGACCATGTGGAAAACAGAAAAGAGTAAATGACATGATCAGTATTGCTTGTTCTGTTACAAAAAAAGTCACAAGGACATACCACAATCTCACAGGTCAGCCTTAGACGTATGGTTTCAAATTATTAAAGCATCAGAGGTCAAGATTCCAAAATTATGCTTTGACTGTGCTAGCACAAGGTTGTGGTTCTTTCACAAGGACAATCCTTAGTGTCATGTTCTTGTCCCAGCTGTTGGTAAAGTTACTGTTGGTGTTGTCCGGGTCCCTGAAGTTGCTTGAAGAAAACTGGATGTCTCAGAATTTCAGAGGCTGCAGTGCTGGTTGAGCTTGGAGCCCCGTGAAGTGGTGACATCTGTGATAATGCAACTGCAGCACATATAAGGATCCTTCTAGTTCCTTCTTTAGCAGGTTACTGTTGTCTGTACTGTAGCTGGCAAATCTGGCTCTCTGGTTTTATAGGCACAGACACAAAGGCTTAGAATTGGAAATCTCTGGATAGAAAACACTGCCACACAGGAATTCTGAGCAACATTTATTTTAATTACTTGGCAAAACAGTCACTTTATCAAGGCGATATAAAACTTAAATAGCATGCTTCTGTGTTTCTACAGTAGCTTAAACAAAATTGTAAACATATGAAAGTGTCTATATGACTATGGAAGTCAGAGCAATCAAACTAGTGTTTCCATAATACACGTACACTTGTCTTGATAGTGCATTAAGAGGAATTTTTTTAAAATATTGTTATATGATACAATTTTTCTTTGCTTTATACATCTGCTAAGATGACAAAAAGCTTAATTACTGATTTGTTAATGGTATCATCAATACTGAATTTTGTATTGTTTTTAGGGCTCCACAGTATAGAAAAAAAACAACTTATTTTGTCCGTGGCATAATAGTAACATCTTGTTTCAGAATTGGTTTTGTACAATTGTTCCACTGTGACATACTCAGTAAACTCATCTCAAGAGAATCTGATGGAACCTTCCCAGAGGCATGAGGAGGAAACCCCACGGGGATGCAGGTATGAGTTCATGGTGTCTCTAGTTTATGCAACACCAGTTTATAGTACACCAGGACTCAGATACAGATGATGAATTTAGTCAACCCAATTGAAAATGACAGTGTGAATTACAAGTTGGAGGCCATCGGCTTGGCCAAAAGCAGTCATTGCAAATTTGTTCATTTATTTTTGTTGTTGTTGCAAAACATCCATAAACATTTAAAAACATTGTTGAGTTCTATTTTGTGAAACTTTGAAATCAGTCCTATGATCTGCAGATCCACCAGGGCCCAGCTTTAAAGATACAAGAGGAAAAAAAGAGCGGAATCATTGAGAGGAACAAGGGCAGAAAGTCTTGACAAAGACTATGGGAGAAAATCCTGACCTTTCAGAAAAGAAACGTGCATACAGGGAACCAAGCATTCACCTCTCTAGATAAAGGACTTCTTTCAGAGTTCTTCAGTGTTAATACAGAATTCAGACATTTGCTGCTTGAAGGAAAAGAAATTTCTGTAACAATTATGCATAACAAGTACAGCATAGTTACAGTGAAGTATCTTGTCATCCATGCCCTAAACAAAACTCCTCCAACAAACAGTGTAACCAACCCAGGGAGCTCTGCCAGTATGATACCAGTAGAACAGCCTAATTTAGCATTTGCTTTAATAATGTAAACCAAAAGAAAAGCAACATGACAACAGAAGCCTACTAAACATGACAACTCACCTTGATGTCTCACACAATGGGAGTTTGGTCTCTCCAGCAGGAAACCTGCATCATTCCCCTGCATTACGCTTGTAAAGTGAGTTGGTTCTGTAATATCTCTCCAAAGGCCCTGGGAAGTATCTGAAGTAATATCAATAGCCCTTCATCACTGAGGAATCACTTCTGACCAAGTCGAAAGATCTCGACCTGCTGGATTGATTTTAGTATCAGTACCACATTTACATGTAGCACGTAGTGGAACCCAGTCACATATGACCTATGTGGAAATAAGAAAATTCCCTTTTTCTGAAAGCAATTTTGGTTTTTAATGCAATTTGTTTCCAAGCAGCACCTGAAAATTGAGAGTGCGATAATTAACGGGCTCTGGGAAATAACAAAGAAATCTCATTTGCAGCATCTCAGTGTCATCGGTATGGTCTGAGTATGAAGTCTCCTTGGTTCTGGAGTTTTCAAAGTTATTTCTACTCCCCCCCCAAAAAAGAGCATTTTGCTTGGGTGTATCAGGCACTACAAATATGTATCAATATGTATTGATACTCCAGATTCCTGTGCAGGTTCCAAAACGAGTCCTGCTGCTTGACTTGGCCTGCTTGGTGAATGCTAGCTTTCTTTCTGCATCTTAGTCCTTAATTTACTGAGCTCCTCTTCCAAGCTTTTGATATGTTCCTTAAGCGCAGCTTTGTCCTGCTGTGCTTTCTGATTAGCTTGGCACCTGGCTTCTTCAATCTTCCGTTCATACCACTTCTCCATCTGAGTGGAAACAGCCTCGAAGAAGTACTGTGTAATCTCCAGTGCCTGTGAGGTGTCTCTGAGCGCGGGGCCCGGTGACTGGCCTACAGGCAGAACGGAGTGCTGCTGCTCCTGGCTCTGGGGCGCCCCTGCGTGGTGCAGAGCTTTGTGCCTTGACTGCCCACTCTTGCTGGATTTCTTTGTCTGAGTTCCTTTGTTGAGGAAGTAGCAGCTCTGTGGTTCTGTCTTTGCAGGTTCGGTCAAGGGCTGCAAAGCAGCTTGAACCCGAACATGTCTTGATTTGGACCCCAAAAGTTCAGAGGAGGGCAGCTCCTGCTGGAACCTATGGAATGTGCTGGCACTAACGGCTTTGTCCTTTGGCCTGACATCTTGAGCAGGGACTGAAGATTGTACTGGTCCAGCAACAATTAACTGTTGCTCTGCACCTACAGAACAAAAATATATATTTAGAAAAGCTCTGAGCACTTACTTCAGTGCTCAAAAGTGTCTGGTCTATGGTGCAATCTTCCATGCATCATGCTATGCATACATTGCAAAGGCTTGTATTAGTTCATCATGTTATTCTACTGGCTGACCATGAAGATAAGAGAAAAGAGACTCAGAGAGAGACACTGCCCAGACTACCGCAGATCAAAGGTCTTCACAAAAGACACATAACAAAGATCAGGCTAGGTTTCTACAGTCGTATGTGCTGCTGATGTTCAATCTTCTACAAAACTTGAAACTCTACAAATTTTGAAAAGACAACAACTTTTTTGATTCTGCTTATGCTGTTTCTACTGTAAGATTTCTACAGTCCTCTGTCTTTCTAGTCTAGCGGGGTATCAACATCCATGTCCATGCTCTTTAAGTAATGTTTTAGTAGGGGGTTTATACCATGTATTTTAAAGAAACTCTCCTTGGCTTTGGAGACGTGAGCTGGAACTGTGCTCTTCCTGTTTCTTTTTTCCCCAGAAGCTTCCCTGACCAGAGAAGTTGTTTGAACAAAGGTCTTCCAGATCCTCATGTGGTCATGATCCCTGAATAGATGTAATGTTCTCAACTATGGTGTTTGTTTTCCAATTCCATAATGAACTAATAATTAAAAAGTGGAAAAAACGAGAGATTTATTCTGTAGCCCTATGATTTATATATTAACAAGGGAAGCATGTATTTCAGTTTCATGTCCTTGGACCCTACCATTACTGGATCCATACATCTGAAAAGCACTAAATGCAATACACAGTAGGCTGGATAATCTGTGCATGATTCTGACTGGGAAGCTGGAGAAATTTCAGTAAATAAAGTTATTCAGAGCATAAAAGGTCTTGGTTTCAAACACACAGCAGCAGCACTGAGAAGAGTCAGTGTAATTCCACCCAACCGCAATATTAATTAAACTATTCCCAGTGGCTGTGCCTTCAAGTGTTTTCTATTCCCAAAACACTGTGCATATAGATGGGAGAGAGCACACAGAATTAATGGCTATGGTATTAATCATAGAATCATAGAATAGCCTGGGTTGAAAAGAACCGCAGTGACCAGTTTCAACCCCCCTGCTATGTGCAGGGTCACCAACCACCAGACCAGGCTGCCCAGAGCCACATCCAGCCTGGCCTTGAATGCCTCCAGGGATGGGGCATCCACAACTTCCTTAGGCAACCTGTTCCAGTGCATCACCACCCTCTGGGTGAAAAACTTCCTCCTAATATCTTAACCAAACCTCCCCTGTCTCAATTTAAAACCATTTCCCCTTGTCCTATCACTGTCCACTCTTACAAACAGTCGTTCCCCCTCCTCTTTATGTGCTCCCTTCAAGTACTGGAAGGCTACAATGAGGTCTCCCCAGAGTCTTCTCTTCTCCAAGCTAAACAATCCCAGTTCCCTCAACTTTTCCTCATAGGAGAGGTGCTCCAGCCCTCTGATCATCTTAGTGGTCCTCCTCTGGGCCTGTTCCAGGAGCTCCCTGTCCTTCCTGTACTGGGGCAGCTTGGATGCAGTACTCCAGCTGGGACGTCACAAGAGCCGAGTAGAGGGGGGCAATCACTCCCTCTCCCTGGCCACCCCTTTTTTAATGCAGCCCAGGATATAGTTAGATAATAAAAGGATCCCTGTGAATAACTATGATACCTAAGTACCTGACAAGGTTGTACCTGAGGTGCCATCTTGTTGAATGCAGAATTGCTGTGCAAAGCTCTGCTCTGGCACTGGGACTCTGCTTCTCCCCCCATCTTCCAAGAGGCTGTTTGGGAGCGCCATGTAGGAGTGCTGGTGGGAGCCCTCAGCTGGCAGCAGGGGCTGGGTGGCTCTGGAATCCTTGGCACTATGGGGGTTGTTCTCAGTGTCCAGTGTCTCGGTCAGAGACTCGCATGTGGACAGAGTTGATTTTGGTCTTGATGACCTGGAATCTCCAGAAAGCTTGAGTTCCAGATTCTGGATCTTCAGCATGCACCAAGTCTTCAGCTCATCGACCAAGGAAATCTGTGAGGAAGAGAAGTCGCATTGGGTGATCCTGTGATTCTCAGACTGCTAAGAACGTGCAGCAAGGACAAAGAGAAGAACCGAGCCTGGTATCAGTGGCCTTAGACTCTCTGGGCAGCTTTGCATGCTGCCATGGGAGTATTTAGAGGGCTGCAAATCAGAAAAGATGAGTAATTACACATTTGCTAATGCAAGGCACCTCTTTAGTTCAAGATACTACCTTTCAGAGTTGCATTTCAAGTAGACCATTCACGTATAAGTCCTCTGATCAAGACTGATCTGTTTTATCACAGAGGTGCCTTCTGAGTGCAAGCACCATCACATGCTCAGAGCTGCCATTTTTCTAAGAGGGAAATTCAAATTAGACACTTCAGGGACACAGCTTTATACCAGACTCTACTTTTCTATTCATTTGGTGATGAGTCCAACACTAAATGATACATTGCTAACAGCTGTTAAATTACAAAGGTGCTTAGTTAAGTGTCAGCTGTGGAGGCATTTGCCAGTGATCCTTTTAGTAATTAGCAGGTCTCCTCCCCATTTTTCACATGGAACTGTGAGTTTAGGTCAGGATCTCTTATGTGCATGAACATTTATTTAGTCCACATATTTAGAAAAAGTCAACTCAGTTTTTCAGTAGTTTCAGTTAGACTCAGCAGAGAACATGAGCAGGTGATACAACTAAATGGTCATTTTGATTGACATCACTCCTTTCTTGAATGGCTTAGACATTCACAGAAGCCAATTTAGTGCATCTCTTACTATAAAATAAAAACTAAAGTTTTTAAAATTTCCTAAGAACTTCTCTTTGGAGAAAAATGTTTTGTGAGTGTGAGACAAAGTAGCTTAATTACTAGTTTATTCTGAGATTGTCAGAGCAGCCCACCTTATAAGAGGCATACAGAACCCTCTTACAAAAACTCATGACCTTTTACTAGTACGAAGTGTATTGACTTCTTAATTCTCTGAAGAAACACAGTAATGAGAAAACAAATTGTATGTGATAAATACAATGTTCTCACCCTCTTTTAATGGTGAGTTTGTGCAGAAGCTAGAGGGACAAGAGCTGGATCTCTATTGGAACAGTTGCTCTTGTAACGTTGGTTAAACAAGCATATAAAAAGAACTTGCTTATTGGCAGCAATACACAGCTTGGAGATAGTGTACTGTTGCCAGCATCAGGGGAAGAACTGCAGCCTTCTAATACACAGGGAGTAAAAAAGATCAGGCTGAGAGGGGGGAAGATTTCCAGGACACGCAACCAAATGAGAAGTAAAAGAAACAACACGCATCTAATGGCTTTGTTACTATTTGCTGATGTTCCTAAAAACATCCTATTATTAAGTGAAAGCTGAAGCAAAACTGTTAAAAAATTAGTTGTAGGAATTTCTACAAATGTCCTTGGTAGAGATCCCAACAATTCAGACTGGTTTCGCTTTGTCCATTTCTAATGCAAAAGTTTTGTATGTTTGGTCTAAGAGATTCAAGTGGTAAACAGGAATAATTTGTTCCTTGAAGTTTCTTTGCCCGTTCCACCAGATTTTACATAAATCGTAAAATGGATGAGATTGGAAGGGACCTCAAAGCCCTCCCAGTTCCAACCCCCCAGTGTGGGCAGTACCATCCACCAGCTCAGCAACCCAGGGCTCCATCTAACCTGGCCTTGAGTGGCTCCAGGGATGGGGCACCACAGCTTCTCTAGGCAGACAGTAACAGCGCCTCACTGCTCTCTCAGTGAAGAATTCCTTCCCAACATCTAACCTAAATCTACCCTCTTTTAGTTTAAAGCCATTTCCCCTTGTCCTATCACTATCTGCCTGTGTAAATCTCCACTCTTCTCTATGCCTGCTGGAACATAGCTCTCAAGCTGTTCCATGTGTACTAGCAGTGAGCAGCACCACAAGCCCTACCTGCCGCTTTTCTCCCTCTGTTTTTTCCAGCTCGGTGTGCTGCTGCAGGCGATGAAGGCACTCTGTTCTCTCTGCAGACAGCCGCTCGGCCATAAGCTTGTCTAAAACACGGAGCTGTGGGAAAAGCACAATGTAGCTGAGGCGTTCATGTTAAAAAACCAAAATCTCCATCTGCGAGCCTTGGAAGTCAAAGCACATTCTGTCTTTCAGTCTGCATTTCTAGGAATGTTGCCAACTGCAAGCTTGCAGAAAGGTTCGATCACAAAATTATCTGATGAATAAAAATTATATTAAAAATAATTTAAAGGATCTTGAACATCAGCATAAGCAATTCAACAAAAGGGATTTCTACAATTATGAAACTACCAGCTGTAGGATAGCATTTTGTCTTTTAAGTTTCCCTCTTAGAGTCTAAAGCAGTTTAGGATTATTGTCTAAAGAAGCACCTGAAGCCACATACCCATTAAATGCATCTTTCTCAAGACCGTGGCTTGCAATGTGAGATGCATGTAGAATGTCACAGTTCCCTGGTCTTGAGTATTACATTTCAGCCTCATTTTTACAACAGAAAAAGCAATGAGCAAACCGAGACAATGAAAATATTGATTATACTCAGGACATGTTTCTAATAATTATGTGGGTCATATTCTTACTTGATGTTGAGTTTTGCTTTCCATCTGGCCCAGCTTAATATTCATCTTATCTTGTACAGTCCCAAACTCAGCTTTTATCTCCTCCACGGTTGCCTCCAACTGATTCTCCAGTTTATTTATCAGGGGCTCACAACGACATCCATTTATTGGTGCCTGAAAGGAATAAAACATTTGCTTGCTACATCCTGCTGTCCTCTCAGTGCACTTGGAACATTACCACACCTTTCTGTAGTCAGCGCTGGGCTGTTCTGTACCGTGTACTGTATCTCATCCTCCTTATAATATCTTACAGCTCAGCAAACAGTGCATTAAGTTGGAAAAATACAGACAAGAAGAGGATTGATCTCATCTGTATGAGCAAATCTCAGTGCTGGGGCAGCAAGCAGCAGTGAGGTCAGATCATATATCCTGTGGCACTGTGTGTCATATGAGAAGGTATCACCTCACAGACCTGCACCCTGCTCTCAGTGCTGTAATTCTGAACTGTATGGAATCTGATTTCTGTTGATGCATCTGTCTGTAGTGGAACCTCCCTCTTTCCTATGGCCCTACAGTGCCATTTCACCGAGCAGGGACTGTTCTCTGGACTGAGGAAGGTGGGTCATTCGTGGTGTGCTAGAGAGAGCTTCAGAAATGTACTTAAGTTCTGTTTGCTATTCAGGGCCCGAGGGGATCAAAGACGATAGACAAGCAAAAAGAAGGGTAGAGAGAAGTGTTGTGTATTTCAGGAAATGCCGTTAGGGGATCTAGCTGTACTATGCTAATCTCTGTAAATAGATCAGATCTGTATACAAATCCTATCTATTCCCTTCTACTTTTCTACCTGCTCATCTTCCCACCATACAGGCAGGGACATCCTCGTCTTAGCATTGGAGAAGTCCTCCTTTCTTCCCAATACCTGCCATTAGGATAATCCCATAATGCCCTTGCCTGGAAATTTCCCGTGTTACACAAGGAGATGCTGGAGAACATGGCAAATAAAGCCTCTGAAACCTGACTTGAGTCATCTTCAAAATCTGCTGAACTTATAGCAAGGGAAAACAATTAACTGTGGATGGATGTGAAAAGCAAATAAAATAAAAAGAAGACCTCCCAGAGGTACAGGAGGACAATGTTTGGAAAGCAATAATATAGAAATTTGCAATGCTTACAGGGTAATCTGCTGTCTGATTCTATGCTGCTTCTATGCTGGTAAATATTTACAGAATAAAATACACCAAGTGAAGTAAAATAACCATCCCTAAACTTGAATAAATGTACTTGAGCTGCTACTCCTGTTTGTGAACCAATTTCTGTACAGCTCCTGCCTCCAGTAATCCTAGAATCCCCAAAGAATTGAAACAGAATGCATTGAGCACACTCAAGCGCTGAGTTTAGGTAGGAAACATCAGTGCTCATACAGTACTTTCATTTATTTTCTGGAAATAAATGGAAAACTCTCTGTCTTTCCTGACAGAAATCTTAGTTTTTCAAAATGTATCATGGAAATTCCAGTGTCATTCCCAATCACTGTTTTACATCTTGTCTCTAAAAACTTACTGAGCATTGGAACAGGCTGCCCAGGGTGCTGCTGGAGTCACCATCTCTGGAGGTGCTCAAGAACCGTGTGGATGTGGCACTGAGGGATACAGTTAGTGGGCATGGTAGGGACGGGCTGAGGGTTGGACTAGTTGATCTTAGAGATGTTTTCCAACATTAATGATTCCTTAGCACACATGAAATCAGCTTGTTGTTTACCACACTTCATGCTAAAATACATCTGACACCTGAACAAGGAAAAGAAATCCACTACCATTATCTCATACCCTTGAAAGTGTAGTTGGAAGGAAGTGCATTTGCCATCTGATCCCCTAACTGTGTCTACTGCAGGTGCTGCTCAGCACATCCCTATGAGAGCACAGCGCACTCACCTGCATCACCTTCCCGTCCTTCCCCCGGTACAGGGTGTACAGCTGGTAGGCCCGCACCTCGTGGGGAGCAGGGGGAGAGGAGCAGTGATGTCTGCTTCTGCGTTTGGGCAAGTTCTGCTGGGGCCGAGGGAGTGTCTGCTGGTCAGCTGGGGAAATGGGGTCTGAGAGCGCAGAAACCTGTAGAAAACACACAATATTTTTATTAATTATTGGTCCCTCGGTAAACCATTCCTGGTGGAAACTGGACAAACCTTTTGTGATAATCTAATTACAACACAAATCATCCGCAGTGACTACACAGTGGAGGTATTTGTCAGCAGAGCAGCCAGATTTATTATAAACCCTCAATGTTAGCCTCAGCAAGAGGATTTTCCCAAAAGAAACCAGTTTTGTCAGAAGGCTACCTCAGCTTCTGAGCACGTCTGGTGCCCTGGCTCACGCCACACCAAAGGGACAGCTGCACTCAGCAACGATCCTTTCTCTCTCTGCTGCTTTAAATCTATTGATACCTTCTCTTTTGGCTTTTTCTTTTTGTTCTTCTTCCCCTTGAGATCTGGGGAGGTTGACCGAGGCTCATCCTTCAGCTCAGTTTTCCCCTGCACTGGCTGGTCGCTGCTCTGTGTGTCGTCAGCAGCTGAGACACTGCCCTGTGCAAAGCAAAGGCAGAAACAGGGAAAAGGTGAGTGTTCTTCCATTTGCCAACCTGCAGCATCTCACTGACAGCAAAGCACTGCAGACCTTCCCCAGACTCCTCAGGCTGTCCCACACAGAGCTGCTGCTACCATGCACTAGTGGCAGAGCCAAACAGATTTTGTCCCAGTGGGTTTTGTTCATGCTCCCTTTGTACTGGAGGTGCAGTGGTAATGCCAGGCTGTACCTTGCTCTGCACCACTTCATCCCGTGGTACCGACTGAGCTCGCCTTTCCTCCTTCAGCTTCTCCCTCTTCTTCCTCAGGCTTCTTCCACGGTTGAAGCGCGAGACCTGGAGGCAGACAGCACCATTACTTAGAAATGTCATGCTTCTTTCTGACCAGAAGCTAAGAAATAAAGCAGACCTGCTGTCACTTCTACTAAAAGGCAACATATAAAGGAGAAAGCACTCCCAGATGCATGCTGATGGGCCAAGCAATGCTGGCATTTATGGCTGTGAAACACCGCTCCTGAGCTCGGTGCATCAGGGCACCTCGCTATTCTGAGGCAGAGGATTGCAGTGTTTGACCAAGTGCTCCACTTCCAGCCCTCAGCCCCACCTGTGTCATGGCCAGAGCTTATTGCCAACAGAAGACATTTGCAACATACCTGTGAAGCTTTAGTGAGGAGGAGTGCAACCTCGGGGTTGTTGTGCTGTCTGGCCACCTCTAGTGGGGTCTGACCTGCCTGAGAGGAAATAGGACAGCGTTTCACTTCTAGGGGAGGATTTCTCCACCGGAGGTCAACACATGCTCTGTGCAAAAGTGAAGTGACTTCCTGCTTCCATTCACCCAGATTTCATTCAACATGCAAGTATCATCTACTAGCGCTAGAAAGAGTTTTCATTAATACAAAACACAAAAGCAATTCCATGTCCTACTTACATTGTTGACAACTGATGTATCAGCCCCTGCCTCCAGCAGCAGCTTTACCACCTTCCTGTGGTTCAGGGCCGCAGCCACGTGAAGTGCAGTGTCTCCTGCCTGTGAGTTACAAAGCAGAAAGCAGCATGTGGCAAACCCACGGGTCTCAGCCTGCAGAACCCTCAGCTTCCCAAGGGATGCTGCAAGGTCAGGAGGTTGATGGAGCTTCAGTGAGGCCTGGTCCGCAGAAATGCAGAGGCGGGAGGAGGGGGCAGGAGGGTGCACTGCCCATCTGTTTCAGCCAAACAATTCAGCTGTACCCCAGCAAGTACATACAGCACCTGAGGGTCTTCTCTCTGCAGGACCAATCAGTCTGCTCACAGGTGGTCATGTATTGTGTTACTCAAAAATAACGGGATAATTAACAGCAGGGAGATGCTTGGGTTTCTCTTTGTGAGATTCCCCAAGAAAAACAGGCTTTGGAATACAGCCAGGAGACGATACGGGCCCAGCACTCACACAGTGCCTGGCCCTGTTCATGTGTACTGAGGTGAAGACTGTAGCGATTGGGTTCAGGCAACAGAGCCAGCAGCTGTGAAAGGGAGGCTGTGCCTGTGCACACGATGCCTTCCTGCCCCTTCTGCCCTGCAGCTTTGCTTCAAGAAATGGCTGACACATCCCCATCCCCTCCAGACCAGGAAAAACCTTATTGCCTCTCCTGGCATGTCCACTGTCCACCCATCAGGTATGCAGATACAGAACAACTTGAGGTGGTATGGAGGAATGGGGAAAGTGGCATCTCCCTGCACTAGGCTCACACCAGTTGTCTTCAGTGTGCAAGTTAAAAAAACAAATTCAAATAAAATTACACAGCAAATTTGACTCAATGAAGCCCATTTTGTTTGCTGTAACTATCTGGTATCCACAAAACAAAAGTAAAGGTAAAAATCGGAATACATCTTCACGATCCTCAATTGTATATGGAAAATTTCCCAAGAATAGCAGATGATGTGGGTAAGCAACACATCATCTATTTACCAGACTTAATACCACTCAAATACTTTATGCTGTAGGTACAGTGATCAATTACCTCCCTACAAAACAATGATGGATGATTAATCCTAGGTTAGATGGCTCATTACTTTGAATTTAAAGCATATTTTTCCTCACTCTTCTGTATCTTTAATTTCTTTTACTGCAAAAGGCAGCAAAGTATTGCAAAGAAATATGCTCTTCTGTGGCAGTTGACCATCAGTGAGCGATGCAACATGGTGTCTCTGTGATGGCTGTGATATTTTCACCATCTGGTGCAGGAGAAGAATATGGAGGAATTTGAGCCAGCAGTGTGCCCAGGTGGCCAAGAAGGTCAATGGCATCCTGGCTCGTATCAGGAATGGTGTGGTGGGCAGGACTAGGGAAGTAATCCTGCCCCTGTACTCAGCACTGGTTAGGCCTCGCCTGGAGTACTGTGTTCAGTTTTGGGCACCTCAATACAGAAAGGACATTGACGTGCTGGAGCAGGTCCAAAGAAGGGCAGCAAGGCTTGTGAGGGGCTTGGAGGATACACCCTATGAGGAGAGACTGAAGGAACTGGGGCTGTTTAGTCTGTGGAAAAGGAGGCTGAGGGGAGACATTATTGCTCTCTTCCAATATCTGAAAGGTGCTTACAGTGAGAGTACGGTTGGTCTCTTCTCACTGGTGAAAGGATGAGGGGAATTGGCCTCAAGTTGCACCAGGGTAAGTTTAGGTTGGATATCAGGAAAATCTTCTTTACAGAAAGGGTTATTAAGCACTGAAACAGGCTCCCCAGGGAGGTGGTTGACTCATGTATTTAAAACCATTTGGATGTGGGGCTCAGGGACATGATTTAGTGGAGGGTTGTTAAGGTAGTATGGTTAGGTCGTGGTTGGACTTGATGATCTTTAAGGTCTTTTCCCACCTGAGCAATTCTATGATTCTATGGCCCCATGACATGGCCAAGTCCCATGCATATCTTGTTCTGCACAGAGCTGATAAGGATTCAAGACTGCCATCTCCTTACCCCCATGTTGCCCTATGTCCTCTCACCCTTTTCTGCACCAACACACCTTTGTGGAACCTCGTAAATAGGAAATGCTTGAAAGAAAAGATGCAAATGCGATGGCAAAATAATAAACCATTGTTTTTAAGCTACTCTTGGAAGCTCAGGCATGGGGTAGCACAGTGAAACGCACGCAGTGATGTGCGACTACTGGGGAGGAATTCCTCTTTCCAACAAGGAGCCATATGCAAAAGGAACAGTGTGGCAATGAAATTCATGCACTGACCTGGTTCTTTTCATGGACAGAACAGAAAGCACTGAGCAGCACCCTAACGATGGGCAAGTGATTGTAACGAGCAGCCACATGCAGACAGGTATCTCCTGCCTGCAAACAGAAACAAAGCGCTAAGCATGTCACTGCAGAATGAAAACTTGTGCTTATCATAGTGCTCAAGGAAGAAATAAACCAAATAAATCAAAAAGAAGCAAACACCTCAAATCTCTACTGAGCAGCAGTGCTGTCTTCTCTTCAGCACAAAGGACAAAGGCGGGAAGGTTTAACAATAGCTGGGGAACAGAGGGTGTGGGCACCAATTCTTTATCTATCTGATGAAAAATGCTGGAATTATAAAGCCCTGCACTCACATTGTTACACAAGATCTGCTCTCCTGCACCCCAAACCAGTGTGATTTGGAAACCCCACCCAGTGCCACACAATGAAGAACGTGGGTACTGGGGTCATAGCTGAGCCTCAGAGGGGCTCCCACAGCTGGGAGCAGAGAGAGCCCCTTGCACTCCTCTGCCACCATGCTGCTATTCAGTGGGGACATAATAGCCTGGCTTCCACCTGGAGGTCTGCATTCCTTCATCATGTCGAATCCCTTACAAAATAGGGGAAAGCTCTCTGGACCTGGACTCACGTTATTCTTGAGATCTGCTCGAGAACCTCCGAGAAGTAAGACACGAGTGCTCTGGGAATGGCTGTTCTGGCAGGCCAGGTGCAGAGGTGTGTTACCTGCCTTGGAGAAACACAGGGAAATATAAAAGCCGTGTTCAGAAACTGGACAGGAATCTTCAAACCTTGGAAGTACCTCACAAAAACATCCCCCAGAGGTGGGCAACTCACTTTCAGCCAAAGCTGTGAGCTGAATGAATCTGGAAACTGAAAAACCCCCTTCATCCGGGAAATGATTTATCTGGGACACAGTAAAATCAGAAATCGGACAGTGTAACATTGTCTGCATTGCTTGAGTCTGTCTGCCAAAAGCAAAGAATCTAGAAACTTTTGGTTAATTAGGATCAAAGAGCAGTGTAATGCACTTAAAGAAAGAAAATTTCCCATGCCTTGGTACTCCTCAAGACAGCCTTGCTTCCTGTCCCTCAGAATGCTTTCCTTCTTTAGTTATCTCTGTCCATGCCTACATTCTCAACCTGCTACAAATGCCTAAAGGTTACGGAGAGAAGCAAACATGCTGGTTTTTTTACTGAGAGAAACCAAAACATGAGCTCGCCTTGTGTATTGCTTTTCTAACCCTGGCAAGGATCTTACTGCACTTGGCTTCTGCCGGCCTGAAAATGTTTGGGGTTTCTTGTCTCTAGGGAGCCAGAAATGCAATCAGACCACGTAGGAAGGTTCTGCTTACTCACGAGACTGCCTCTTCACCTGCATTATGTCTTTTAATCTGTCCCCTGTGCTTTCAAGACACTGATCAAAGCTACAAGGTTTGAATTACAAAAGGTCAACTCTGAGCACAGTGTGTATGAGCGCGTATGTAAAAGAGTTCCCCAGACAGTCCCAGGAGAAATTAACTGGGAGCTACAGAAAACACACAGTGAAATTCTGTGCATTGCTGCTTAGCAGGGCCTGGCAAACCCAGAAGCCCACTTCTGACTGTCCCACCACCAAGGTGGTGAGAGGCATAAAGTCGAAGCCCCCAGGATAAGCCAAGGGACCTCAGGGTGCTCCTGCACGTGGCGCTTCGACCCGACTGCCAGAAAAGCCACCAGGAAGGCGATGCCTTGTCATCACAGGCACTGGAAATTGAGAGACCAGAGAAGCCATTTTGGGATTCAGCAGAATTAAGCTCTACATTTGTCTTGAAAGCCAGGGAGTGAAAGTGAGTGCATGTGTGCAAGCACACACAAATCCCTCATTTTTCAGTAGATCCAAATGGGTCCTGTCCATTAAAAAGCACTCGAGTGATCATATGCAAAGGGAGAGGTTTATGTATATATGACATCAAAGAGCATCACAGGAAGGCCTCATACAGTGCTAAAGGCTGCCAGCCATATCTCAGATGCTCGCTCTGCTGAGCTATTCTGTGCACATGATTTTAGGAGATGTTCTCCAAGCAGATGACTTATGCTGTATTATGAACTACATTTCCTAATACCCTGCGGCATTCAAGCATGCAGGATAACAAGACTTGCCTCTTAAGCCCACATCTTTGTACATAAATATAAACAGAAACAAGCACACCTAGGGGTAGGAGCGTAATGATTCAGTAGCCTATAAAGTCAGGTACTATCATCTGTTACATGTAAACATGGGAAGCTGTCTAAAGTACCTCTGATAGAAATTTAGATGGACATCACAGGAAAAAATAATTACAGAAAATTAAAATTAGAAACAGGACTAATGTAAAAGAAGGAACAGACGTAAAGATGATGTAAGTACAAACCACAGCAGCCAAAGCTGTACAAATATATGCTTACATGCTGCACAAATACACAAGCACACACAGAAACACAAAGAACTGTGCTGATCTTAAGACTTTCACCACCTGTCTCACTTCTCTCCCTTCTTCCCTAACACTTCCAGTCGTCATTTTAGTGTGTATTTGCTGAAATATTCTCTCGCTTGTGGAATGCTCAGAGATCCCACTGATATCCCAAAGCCCTCTTGCCTATAGCAACATAGACATGGTGCCACCCATGCAACCTAACCCATTCGTTAGCACAGCAGTCTGAGCCCTAACTCAGCTCCTACCATTGGCTGCTACTGTAATTTCCTAAATTATTTACTTTTATTTACTTTTGAACTAGTGAGCTGAAGACAAGTCTCCCACAAACATTAGTGAGGAACTGAAATGCCTTGCTTTGTTATTCCTTCCTCTAAAGTGTTCTCAAGATACTATAAATACCAGAAGAAGGATAATCCAAGTTCAGCATGAGCTTTTGCTGAGAGTCTATGCTAATGTATTAGCAAGAACTCTCTAGGAAAAGAGAGTACTTTTTTCCTCTCTGGCTTATATTCATTTGACTGTTCAATCTCTGAAAAAATGGTGAATATTACATTCCAATTAATGCAATTCATATTCATTTTAAATCACACCACTCACAGTGAATTCACCTAGGTTAAATTAAAGCACCATGGAGACCTCCACAGGAGTGGCAGTGTTCCTCAGCTGTAATTGATGTACTCAAAGAGCCATTGAGTTCCTCTCCTCCAATGACCGCAGAGGAACCACGCAAGCACAATAAATGCAAAAGAAGGAAAAAAATCCCAATGGGAGCTGGCTCCCACCTACTGAGATATTCCATGACCAGAGATCTCTGGTGATGAGAGTCAGCCATCTTAGACCAGATATGAGAGCACTTTCTGCATGTGTCTCACCTTGTTCTTGGCAAGGACATTAGCTCCTGCCTTGACGAGCACTTTGGCAGATTGGCTGAACCCATGCCAACAAGCTTCATGAAGAGCAGTATTCCCATCCTGAGAAGCACACACACAAGAGGAGAAGTTTAGTGCACTGAGTCCACTCACCAAATAACACTTCATTAAGTCTGCAACAGCTGCATGTGCCACCTGGCCACTTAAGAAATAAAGCTTTTTCCTTTCCTAAAGCTGATTTACTATTTTATTATCAGCAGAGGCAGATTAAAAATAACATTCACAGACATCTTGGGTACTTTTTCCTTTCTGATCTGTCTTCAACCTCTTTCTGTCTTCATCTACTTTCCACTTGTCCCAGCAAGCCAAGAACAGCACTGACTGGGAATGTGGAATTAATTACATTTATTTACAAACTAAATTTACAGCCTGAGACTCTCAGCTTCTGAGATAATCGCAGGAAACTGTGCAGTGTTTTGGGTAGGGCACAGCGTAGTCATAATTCCCCCATTAATGAGTAGATAACAGATTCTTACATCAAAAATGATCATCTTGATTTCAAAAATAACTAAGTCAGTAGCTAATATTAAAAAAAAAAAAAAAGGAAGGATTTTTTTCTTATTTTAGTATAATTGTTTTCATCGCTTTCAAACCATCAGATACTTATTCAGGAGCATAAACTATAAATTCCTCTATGAGACTTTAATACTACTGATTGGCAAGGCTGCCATCCTCCAATGCACTGCTTTGCCTGTTACCTTGTCTTGTCTGTCCAAAGCACACCCTTCTTGAATGAGAGATGCTATGACATCGGTGTTCCCTACAACAGCAGCCCGGTGCAATGCTGTCTGATCCCCCTGCAAAAAGAAGCAGATTTTTAATCCCTAACATTGCCACTTGATTTTAACTTAATGTAAACACATTCAACACACATACACACAAGCTGCATCATCAACACATATGCTGTTTAAATCCAAGCTGCCTTTGAAAATGGTCCCCATAAATCTATCATTAGTTTCCAAGATTAATGAAGTTACTGTAAGTATCAGAGAGCTACAAAGGAACTGTTTTCAGAAGTCTACAACTCACCACAATCCCATATACTGCACTCAAGTCTTCTAAAAATATGTCAGTACTAGAAGGCAGTGAATCTAACACATTTGGCATTATACATCTACTATTCAACTGTATCTGTGTGGAACTAAAGGGAATTATGGGCTGCTATAATTCATCACATTGATCCCACACTACTTATACTAACAGAATAAGGCTCTCCCCATTTGGCTCTGACTGCTCCATCAACCCTGCTAAGGATAAGGAGCATGAGATGAAGTAGGGGTCCTCAATACCTCTAATGCAGTTACCAATTAGTGCTAAGAGCAGAGGTAATTTTGTGATGAGGACCACAAATGTGAGAACTAACTTCTTCCATGCTTGCCACATTGCAATGATAAGCAAGTTTCCTTCATCAGTTCATTTCCTTTATTGCTAACTTTCCAAAAGAGATAACACTGATGCAGTCATCTCATCTGACTGTCTGTCTGTCTCCCTTCTAACAACTATTGAACTTACTGCTGAACTACAAAGCCCAGGATTGATTCTCAACAAGCCTTCCAGAAATGGGAGGCTAGGGAGACTCAATCAGGGGAGGTTCAGAGGTCCCTGCACCACTGGAGCTGCTGTTCCACCAGGACGTGGCTCCTCACACACCAGACATTACTTCTCACCCTGCCTTGCAACAGGGCCATCTAAGTACTGTTACACGCATGTTGTGAGATAGTGAGAAAAGAGGGGAAACGGGAGAATTTCTGCAGTGCTGTAAGACTGACCCACTGACAGGAAATCAACCTGCAGTGTCCCCACTGCTCTCACAATGGTTGTTCTTTGAAGCTTCTTTAAACTCGCAATGCAGAAGCACAGCTTTTGAGCCTGGGCAAAAAAAAAACAGCTTCAGAGCTGCACGTGGCCTTTTTGGGAAAGAATGTACAACAGAAAGGGTGCCCACCCTGCATCTGCTTATCCAATGTCCATCAAAATATATGAAGAGCAGAGATATGCAATTTATCCGGAAAAAAAAAAAAGAAAGTTTGCAGGTAGCTTGTCCTAAATAGATACAAAATTTCTCTGCTACAGATCTTTATCAGATAATTCTGGGTTATATTAAAAACTAGACAGATTTCCTTATTTTCTGTCCCACAGTATTTAAATAATTGGATAATTTCAATCATTTGTTCTCAAAGGCAATTAGCAGCTAACTTAAAAAGTGCTCTCAGTGTCATTTATACTAATTACACCAAAACAGTTACTACTCCATAAGGGCAAGACAAGCACCGACAGCCCTTATACTGACATCCATTTCAGTACCCTCTGTAATGCTAACTTTCACCATCAATAAATCATTACATTGACTTACTTAATGAAGTTGATTTTTAAAAATAGCATTGAGGGTAGGATGTGCTTTTTTGTTGTTTGCTCATTTTAATTTGCTACCTGATTTTCATCCTTAGAGGTCACATATTCTTTTGCTCCTGCCCCTACTAAGGACAGCAATGTATTTTAAGAGAATTTAAACAAACAAAAGAACAGTCTTAACAACTGGGACTTTTTGAAGTGCAGCAGAACTGAAAGCAGTGCAAGTTCACTGAGTTTATGTTTACTTAAAGATAACCAAAACTTTATGGAAAACCTCCAAAATAAACTATCTCATCTGTAGTGTCAGATAGCTTCCAGAAACTATTCCTGCATAGGAATCTGTTCTCAAACAAGCCAGGGAAGAACTTAACATCTCCAATTAGAACCGTGGGGAGTCCAAAGGTCATTTCATTCACTTACTCCAAACTGGTAAGTAATCCATCAGTTTGTCCCACCTAGCACTGCAGCATCAGCAAAGCTACAGAAAGGCATTACAGGGAGTAAAACAAGATCATGGAATTACAGAACAGCCTGGGTTGGAAGGGACCTTAAAGCCGACCCAGTTCCAACCCCATGCTGGGAGCAGTGCTGCCCTCCACCAGCTCAGGCTGCCCAGGGCCATCCAACCTGGCCCCCAGTGCTTGAGAGATGGGGCATCCACAGCTTTTCTGGGCAGCTGTGCCAGTGCCTCACCTCTCTTTGAGTGAAGAATTTTCTCCTAATATTTAACCTAAATCTCCCTTCTTCTACTTTAAAACTGTTCTCCCTTCTCCTGCCTTGTCAGACTGTGTAAGAAGCTGGTCTCCATCTTGTTTATAAGCTCCTGTAAGTACTGGAAGGCTGCAGTGAGATCTCCCCAAAGATGACATCTGCCATTCTGACAGAGGAAGCTTCAACTTTTTGCTTCTTTGAAGCCTGGAAAATTGATCACGGAGATCAGACTGGGGGCACAAATGGATTGCCTTGGATGTGCCACTTTCAATCAAGACTGCTCTTGTCATTCACCCAGCCCCACAACAGTTATCACAGTGGGGAGGCACTGGGAGCCATCCATAGGTTTTGTCCTATATTGCATCCTTCTCCCCAGGTCTGTAAATACCTCATTCCCGTATGAGGGAGTGTCAGAGGACATCTCAGGTCCTGCCTGTCTTAGGAGAGACAGTGAAGTTCAGGAAGATCCCAATTTTTTGACAGTCGCCACAACCTCAGCCACTGGGGCAGGGTTCTCTGAACCATTCCCTCACACCTCAGCATATACACATTGACTACATGCCAGGGAAGCTGAATCAATGGATCATAATTCCTTCTGTGTCATGAGCTATTGAGCAGCCCAGGCATAAGTCACATACTGCAAGTATAAAGTGATACCGAGTGCATCACTCTATTTTTAACCTGCCTTTCCTCCCCATTAGTAGAGGTGCAAACCTTTGCATGGCCCTTTATGGAGCCAGATGTAAAAGATGAGCTGTATTTCTTCTGGAGTCCGTACATTCAGGCAGTGCAATCACTGACTCATGTATCTTTTTTATTAAATTGCTAAAATAACTGTCTCTGAAAGTGTTCATCAGAGTTCCGCCTTTAGCAAGGCATTAAGGGACTGGTCTAGACAGCCAAAGGAAAAAAATCACCTGAAAGTGTACATTAGCTGCCCAGGCTATTATGTTGGGCACAGTTTATGGTTCTATTTGCAAGTGATTTACACCTTAGGAACAGGCTGCAAACCAGGAACAATGAGGAGCAATAACTCCAGTGTTACACAGATGTGACCTTGACAGAAACAAAAGAATCAAGCTTGCTTAAATGCAGACATAGGCTGGAAGCCAAAAGGACATTAAGGCACTTCTGTGAGATGTGGTAGATATAAGGTACCTAATGTAGATGTAGAGATGTAAGGCACCGGTGTCTCTCAAATCCTTTGCCTTAGCTGCTGCTTTTCTTGAATTGCATTGAAATTTTCTTTTCAATTGCATTGAAAGCAATGAAAACTTGGGCATTTCTACCCAGAGTCTGTGGACATTGCAGCTTGCACAGCACCACGAGGCATCGGAGCTGGGATGGAACCAAGGAGGACTTTGTGAACCTCAGCCCACCCAAAAGTGCTCCCCCTCCAACTGTCAGCACGCCTGCTGGAACCAGTGCCAGTGGTTATGTGACTCACCCAGCTTCCCTTGCCATGAGAGCACTTCTGTGTCAAAATTACTCCACCATCAGGAAAAACACCTGTACTCACTGGGATAGAGAGAGGGAGATGCTGGTGGGAGACCAGGAACATGAGTTTGCATTCCTTGGGCAAAGAATGAGGGACTGTACATCTGGAGTACTCCAAATACAACAGAGCTATTGCATAGAAAGGCCTGAGGATGTTTCCAAAATATGAAACTGTGTTCTTGACTGCTTTCAGGAGAGGGCTGCAGGTTGTGAATCCTGAAGAAAGGTACATATCTACACATTGACCTTTTGCATAGATTTTATCATTATCATTTCCTTTAGCACTGTAGTGTTGGCAAGGCCAGTTGGTGTTTAAGATAGCCTTCTAGGCTCCTAAACTTTCTTAATTTGATGACTAACTTCAAGAAGTGGATGCAACCATTGGCACCAGACACACAGTAAATGGACAGCTGTCTATATCATATCTGAAGTTCACTCCATGGAAAGAAAATAAAGCAAGCAACTTTGAAAAGATTTTCAAGTAGTTATTAGTAATTCTTCCAGCTCTCCTGCCTCTGTCACACACACAATAGAGGAACAGCACAGAAGTATTGGAGTCATTATTATAGACTCTAATCCCTCAATTCAGTAAGATCTACTTTACACTAGTTTGCAATATGTGTTACTTTTCCCTTTTTCTGATTAAAAAAGAAGTATTATAACCACATCTTGTATTCTTACACATTCCTTTTCTCCAGAGCATCCTCCAGTTCCTGGACTCCTTTAAAACTCCCTCCAATGTCAGGCTTTTCATCCTCCCTGTCTTTTCATGTTATCAGAAATCATCAAACTACTTTGCTACAGAATCGCACCAGAATCAAGAGAAAAAACTCATGCGTTCAATCTCTGATGCAAAAAGCTGGCATTTGCAAAAGTCTTAAACTTTGAAATTATATAATTGGATTTACAGTTGAAAGCTTAAAACATTTGAAAGTGAAAATATAACCAAGGGTAAAATAGTCTGAAGAACATACAAGCATATTTGAATATTCTGAAGCAGTTGGATACAAAGGCAACTAAATGGGCAAAGTGTTTCCCAGTGCCAGTGCCCCCCTCCTTTGCTGAAGAAAAACAGTCATCACAAATGCACAGCAAGAAGAATTTCACTCTGGATGACAAATGATGATGCATGACCAGCTGAACTGATTGAGGCATGAAGAAAATAAACATGACTGAAAGAAACTAAAGCTTAAACGACACTAAATGAGACTTAAATGGGAGTACAGGAATAAGCCACTTCATACACTTACGTTCACCTAGAAATTATTTTGAACCCTGGATTATTTCATTTGAAATTATTTTTCTGCTTCTCAAACTGGAGCTTCCAGAAGAGAAGCTCCAGGGCCTCTTCAGAGTTTCAAAGGTAAGCTTTTTTCTCTAATTAAACTTTCAGAGAGTACATACAGGGCAGGAAACTATGCAGAGCACCCAGCGCAAAGCTCGCCATGCAATCATGCACCTCCAAGAGCTGTCATGCCAGGCTGCCAGTCCAAGATTTTGCAGCATGCAGCCATGGAGAAGTGAAGCTCAAGGCAGGATTGATGCACAAGTTTCTAACCTCCTTCTCTCTCTCTGATCTTCTAGGTTCCTTTCTAGCCTTTCTCTTCTGGTTTTTCTTATCTTTCTCGTCCTTGATTTCCTTCACATGGACAACTTTCTCCTTGACTATTTCTGAGGTGTGAGCTGTATGAATACTCATTGACCAGTCAGAGATTGCATTGGGATTCCAGTAAGAACTTTCAGTATTGGCAGGGAGAAGGAAAGAATTAGCTCCTGGGGTTGCGTACTCTACAGAGCTGGACTCCGCCGGATTAAATTCATAATAATCCCACTCCAGGCCACTGGAGGTCATTCTTCAACTAATTCTCACGGCTCTTGCTGTGCTTTAAAGAATGTATCTGTAGAACATGAAGTTAGTGTTTGAATCTCTCCATAGCATTCAGCAATTTTAAAGCTTCTGCTTGTCATGTAGCAGATGAAAACTTAGTACTGGATTTATTAGCTACAGTCAACTCCAAAATAACATGTTTGGTGATCTCTTGGTATTAAGAGAAAACACACATCATATTTTCAGAACTTGAAGAACTTTCTTTCTGTTACCACAATTCTACAGACAACAGCCAAATAAGTAATTTAATTTTCTCTGAAATATGATACCCTCACCCTCATGAACAATTTCATCTCTGAACCTAAATATGTATTCCTGAAATGAAATGTAATCATGTTAATCAACATTTGATGCTAAAATGCCTTCACTGCCAAATAAGCAAACAGTAAAAGTGATTGAAGGCATAAGTGATAGATGGGAATTTAAAAAGAATATCAGTACTTCTGTATGGCATAAATAAAGTGTAAAAATGAATTATACAAGGAGAAAACATAAAGAACCTTCTTTGAAGACCTATGTAAAAGGAAAGCAGAAACAATTAAGTTATTACCTTTCACAAGCACAAATGCTCACTTGCAGTTCAGTCTTCCTCCTGCTCCAAGACAAGTTGAAACCCACCTTCTAAGACAAAGCAACTACCTAAGCTTTCCTTGGTTTCAAACTGGATGACTGGTATTAAATACTGAGCCAAAAACCAAACTATGCTTTTAGGAAACAGCATCAAGCATGCACCTATTCTATTCGGAACAGTCACCACATTAAGGAGCCAGATCCAATTGCTGTGAACAAAGCCCCTGAGAAGACCTTGGTAGGCAAGTGAAATATTGTCTTCCAGGAGCTGAATGTTTCTGCAGCAGAAGGCTCTTCACTGAAATGAAATGGTGCTAACCACTGATTTACTATTTTCCCTTATGGTTAATGAATCAGATGAATAGCCTAGAATTTATGACTAGAGGATTGATAATAAATAAATAAATAGGAAAACAGACTTACTCAAAAAGCAGTTTTCATAGAAACCCAATCTGAGCAAATCAGCAGAAGTTCTTGCAGTACTAGAGCAGCAACTTGTGTTTCTCAGGAACACCAACTGTATTTGTAAGGTACCTGCAATTTTGTCTTAAACACCTGATGAATCATTTTTACTGGGAGATGTCTAAAACCAGAACACATCTGAGCAAACCGACACTCCCATTACACTTGCAAATCCTGTCCATTTCACAGACAGGTATAGTGCAAGCCCAAAGGAAGCAGGAAACAAAGTTTCTTCCTAGAATTAAAAATACCCCAGAACAAAGTTGGATGTAAAGCTGTACCCTTGCCAGACACAGATTGCTCCCATCTCATGGGGAAGCGGCTACTCAGGTGGAGAAGGAAATCAGTTTTCCAGTTTCTACAGACATTTGAGGACCTCTGTATGCAAATAAATGCCTAAATGGATTTTCAAAAGGCACCTAGACATTTTCTGTCTTTTTAATAGTCATATGGGTGCCTCTACTAGCCACCCTTGGATTTCTAAGTCCCTTGAAAAATCTACACCTTCTTTACTACAGAGGGAAATAAAGCAAATCTTCCTCAAATTTGTGTCAGTAAACAATCAGAAGTTAGCAACAAGTCTAGAGGAAATCACAATTATTAAACTACATTTTCATTCATCACAGTAAGGTAACTAAAACGTTGTTACCACCCTTCCAACAAGCCTTAAAGTCTGGAACAAAATTAGATCCATTTCTATGGAAAACCATCTAGTTCCAACAAATTACATATTTTACTGAATGAAAACAAACTACCATTTGCTAAACTCAAAGCTGGTTGCATTGTGCTGATGCTTCACCATACAACAGCCTGACAGATGCGACCATCCCACATCAACCATAGCAGTCAATGGGTTGAGTGCCTAGGCAGTTGTCCAATACACTGAGGCATGTGAGCATCTCCCACTTCAGGCAAACATCACAACAAATACATCCCCTACTAGATGTCCTCCAGTGGTCCCCCACATGGTACAACAAATTCTTGTTTAATCCCTGTACTGAACAGCAGACAATGGTTCTCAGGCTACTTGCACCAGCCTGGCACAATCAGAGCACTCATAAAGCTCCACAGCTGGAGCGTGAGGAGCAAACATCTCACTGAAAAACACTACATTTTACTTTGCCTCCCATGCAACTTTGCATCTCCAAATTAGAGGCTGCATCTCCAAATTCAAAAATGTAGAGACAGATTTTGTATTCTTTTAATCCTACTTCAAAGTGAAAGCCTATTCTCATTTGCAAAATTACTGATGAAACAACAGAGGCTGTATTTACTTACATCATCCTGAATATCCAAGTCACAACCTGCTTTCAACAAGATCTGGACAACATGGAGATGACCCTTATGGGCAGCAAGATGAAGGGGGGTCCGGCCATGCTGTGAATGAGAAGAAAATACCAACAAATCAAGGTGATTTTCTATGCATAAAAGATGACCAGAATTGTATCCTCTTCTTCTCCCTCTTCTGTGTATCTCTCTATTCGAAGCACGCCTGCAATAGCAACAGTTGACAGACATCAGTGTAGGAAATGCTGAAAACTCCTTCTCTGTGTTCTGCAACATTTCAGTTTATCCTGATGATAATCTACAAAAGGGATATTCTATTCACATAAGGACATGCTCATGTAAGGACATTTCCTTACAAACTCAGATTCAGCTTTATGTCCATGAACAAAGGGACTTCATGATTCTTTTAGTTCTGTTCCCCTGGAGCACAGGGGACTTTTCAACCACTTCTAATTCCACTCAGTACAACAAAGTAGCTGTAAAAGGCAAATTCATAGATTGCAATGGGTACCATCTTTGCAACAGAAGTAAGAATTACTGACTGTTATGCACAACATGCTCCCCTCACAAGAAACCGAAGAGTTGTAATCTCTCCAGGTGACCTAAAGTGTAGGACAGCCAAACTCTTTTTGCCAACGACCTGCTGAGTGTTTTTAGACAATGCTTATTTTTAAACATTCCCAATGTCTAGGCTATATAGAAATAAAATTTAAAATATTCACAAGAAAATCAATCTGTAGTGTAATCAAGGACAATTCCCAAGTGAACAGAGGGACAGAAAAACTTTAATTAGAGAGATGGGTGATATATAGCTTAAGAAGTAAATAAAAAAGACAAATTTGACAGTAAAATCAAATTAAAAAAAAGTAAATCCCCAACAGAAGTCTTATTAAAATTCTAAGTGAAATGACAAGAGAAAAAGAATATTCACACATAACTGAGCTACGTTTGATCATCCTTTGGCAGAAATAAAAAGTGAAACATTTCAGGAAAAGAGAAATAGGCTTCTTCTACAAGAGGCAAAAGAATGTATGTTGAAAGAGGTTCAAAGAGTGAAGAGATCATACGAGAGTGTGTTGTACTACAAAGGAGACCTAGAACAAGTGATTCCCTAGAATTCTAACCCATATAAATCTCTAAAAGAAGATTCAGAAGGGGAGAGTCAAGAACTAACTTCTACCCTAGGAAATGTATGTGCACATATGCATGTGTGCATCTCTTCAGTACACCTCAAAGCATCACCTTACAAACTGTTAAGTAGGAACAATTCTGAAATTGTTCACTGCACATTTTATTTCAGTGGAATTTAGAAAACAGGGTTCTTCTCCTTGCTAAGATCACTGATGATTTTCACAAAGAATGCCAATTTTCTACATTAGGCATTTTATGAGATGAAGAAACATTATACTACCTTTCATCTGTACGTCTATTTCTTTATCACTGCTTCACTGTCTATTTTTCAATCCAAGAACTCACACTGCAAGATAAGATAAACGGTGTATCTACTATATCAGCTATAAAATAAGCAAACACCTCAAGAACTGAGTAGTGGCCTTAAATGAACAGAAGACAACCATTAACTCTCTGAGATTTTACAGAAATTCCTGAGTGTGAAAGCTATTCCAGGTAAGCAAAAAAACATGCTCAGGACAGCACTGTTTGCATATAGAAATTCCCATCCCTGCCTATCTGGTAATGTCTTCAAAACTCAGTCTCTTCACAACAAAGTAGCACTGAAACCCATAATAATGTTGGAGACAAAATGTCTGTCAGTAGCTAATAGTTGCATGCTGCTTTGAAAATGTTAAACGTTGATTAATTACACCATGATTGATCTGAAGGGCCAGATCTAAGGGAAAAGCCCACACCCAGCATGGAACTTAGGTCTCTCAAAGCAACTATTTTCTCCTGTACCCTTTCAGAAGTAGGAGGCAACAACTCATTCCAGCATGGGAAGCTTTCCTTCCAGCATCTCTCAGGGCGTGGGAAGGGCTTGCTTCCTGCTGTCCCCACCAGCTCCTCTATGTCGAATGAGTGGCAACAGCCTGCTGCTTGTTGCTTCTTGTTGGCATCCTCACTTCGATCCTTATGGGTCCATTCCAACTCAGAATATTCTATAATTCTATGATCCTTGTAGATCCCTTCCAACTCAGGATATTCTATAGCTCTAGACACAGGTTCATCAGCAAAGCCTCCCCAGCAAAGGGCTGGCCCAGCCATGCAGAGCACATCTTCTGCCCCAGCCTGCAGAACAGCCAGTGTGAAGTCAGTTTCAAGTAACTCAATGGCAGGAGGCATAAAAGTCTCTAGGCAACGTGAAAAAAAAGAAAAAGAATCAGAAGCTGAGTTGACAAAGCATTCCCAGCTATGAACAATACATTTGGATTATGGAAATATGCTCCAGCATGTTCAGGTTTATGGGTTCTGAATTTCTGCATTACTTAATTGCAATAAATAAATCACTTAACCAGGATGTCTCACTTCCCAGTGGGTTACTAATGTATTGCGAAAACAGCTTATTGTTAACTGCATATGGAGCAGAAAAAGTCCCAAATAAACCCAAGCTGAAGCCAGCTCGTGTGAAATGAGAGCAGCATCAACCACATGAATTTATTCCAACGGGGAATTTTCTGATAAGATAGCCATCTCTAAACACTGAAAAAAAGCAGAGGTGTAGCCAAAGGTATTTTGTTAAAAATAAACTATGAAAGAAGAGTATGAGTTTATTTTTAATACAAAGAACATATTTTCCTCACCTAACATACTTCTGTAGACAAGCACCCCATAACATGTGTGGAGGAAAAGGGAAAGTCTCCAAGGGACACACATCCAAGCCACGTGTTTCTCAAGAAAACGGCTGCAAAACACAGCAGCAGACCTAGATCTCACAGGGCACACCACCTTCACCTGCCCATTTGATGCTTTAAGGTACCTAAAAATAAAGTGGTTGCGACCACTTTCCCTTAGCAGTACGAATTTCCCATTTCACCAGGAAGGACTAACCCTCATCTCAACAGCTGGGCTGTTTCCTCTGCCTCAGCTTCAGAAGACCAGTGCTGAAACAGGAGGAGTCCTCAATGGGAGACACCACAGCTGGGTCAGGGAGAGCAGTGATTTCTATGGTGATAGGAAAGAGGTGAGGGGTTGGATGGGCAGGTAGCAGGCAGAACTGCCAGCCTTGGAAAGCAAGGTTAGTAGAGTTACCAACTCCATTCTAATCACTTCAACCAGCAAAACCAAGCGTCACCATTTTTTCAGTGATGCATGGAGAAGAAGCTCACACATAGCAGCTTTGGCCATTCCTGTTATGGAGCAAACAGAGAGGTTGCATCGTTGTGCTATCCACTGTCATTATCCCATTCAAAAAATTCAGCTGGGTCTCCAAAGCTCTTCTAGAAAAATGAGCTGTTGAAACAAAAGACTAGAGAATGATTAAATACACTTCAGCTTTCTATTCCACAGGGTTTGTGTGTTTCTATAGAGGTATCCCCTTTAGTTGGAGACTGGAATGAGAACCCTTATGAGACCACAGTTGCTGCATATGTGCAGTCCCTTAGCTCTTCCCAGTGTCTATAAAAGGAGACTGGGGAAACCAGGATCCCAACCAGGATGGGTGAGTGGAAAGGAGGATCAATTCCAGCACATTACATTGTATTAGCAGTTCAAAGTTTTGGAAAAACACTGGCCATCACATCGTTAATCATAACACTGCAAGAACTGATAATGCCAGAATTTTTCTCCTCAGTTACATCAAAGCAAGGAGAGATGGCACAGGAGGACAGTGCTCTTCCAGTGCAGGCAATGCAAACACTGGAAAGATGCACTCACCCACCCCACACATACATAAACACACACTGTATGTGTGTACATATGTACCATACCAATCCAGAACAATTCTTCACTGGCTGGGAAGGAGATTTCTCATGGGCTAATAAGACTATTCTTTTTAAACTATGACGTCAGGGTTTTTTTTCACAACCACGTATCCTGCCCAAAATATCTATGAGGAAGAAAGAAGAGGACAGAGAAATTTCTCTACATGTTCTCTCCAGAAAGACATTTCACACTCCCCACTGAAGCACTAAAGAGAGGTCTGATGTGACTAGGCATAAGGGTCCTAGCAAGAGAGGAAAAATATATAAACAAGAACACCTCTTAGCTACTCATCACAGAAAGAAAACTCTAAAGCCCGAGGCTGCTTAGCATGTAGATTGCAAACTTAACAGCTCATGGGCCTCTGTAAATATCAACTATAATGTTTGGAGGTTATTACAGGCAACTACAGAAATACAAATGAGAGACTTCTGAAACTTAGATTAATGAACCAATAAAGTGGTCATTCATATAAAAAATATGCAGTTTGGACATTTATTCAAATGAAAACAATTCCTTCAGCAGGCCACAAATCACACAAATCCCCCCACGTCACTGACTTATTGACCAAATAAATGGGATCTCTTGCACTAATGCTGTCACTTCCAACAACCATGACACAGAGCTACAGCTCCGGGGTGTATCAGATTGCAGTCAAGCACAGCAAATATCCACAGTAAACATCCACATGAATTTCAGCAGTTAAATTTTCTATTTATATTCAGCCTGTGTTCTAATTTCCAAATACTGACAGGCAATTGTCAATATGAACAGTTCAAAAGTAGAATTTTCTTGGAATAGCAGCTCCAGATGTGTGCTCTGCAACCAAATCCATACAGGTGGGCGTAACACCAGGAGCTGCAGGCTCTTTCCTTGTGTTTATGTATTTCTAGATACTTTTACGCAAATACATTCAGTTCTCCCTGTGCTGTGCTTCACAAGCACTGTGGTTTATTCATCCATTCTGCATTTATACCAAAACATTCCTATCCATATTGTTTTAGAAAGCTTGAAAACAAACACAAACCCTCGTCATACTGTTCACGCTGATGACTTGTCACGCTGTTCCCCATGAATGACCTGCTCACTCAAGTCAGCAGAAAGCTTCTCGCTGGCCTCAACAGGCATTAAGTCAGTCTTTAAATGTCTGCTACTTCCCTTTCGTTTATTTTTATTTATTGCTTAGAACAGATGCTTAAGTCAATAAGCAGTTTTTTCAAGCTGAAGTAGCACAAATATGTGAAAGCACTGAACAGATTTCTTTTTTTGTTTCCTTCTCAACATAGGAAAAAAAAAATTGTTTTCAAGAACTCTGCATGCTCTGAAGTTGAAATGTTGATGACAGGTCTACAAGTACCCTAGCACTATCAAACACTGCCATATGGGAGGTCTGTAACACAGCTAGTTCAAAAATCAAATCAAACAAGCAAACAGATAAACAAACAGAATTGCTGAATTAAAATAGAAGCACTAGCTTCCACACTTTTTTTTTAAATGCTCATCTTCTCTTTCCAGAATTCGATTTTATAGCCATGTTCTTAATGCTATGCTCTGCAGAAAAGCTATATTCTGCTTTCCTTTGAAAAAAATATTCATAATCCCAGTGGTGATATGCAAACTACATTAAAACTGCCTGTGCTACTATACTGCTTCCTCTGGCAATCTTCTTCATGCTTAACAGACAGTGGCACATTCCTCTCTGTGCGCTAGCTAGCACACAGCTCTTTGGGCCATATTAATTCAGAGTGCTGAATGCTGGTACCACACTGCAGCACCCCAGTGAATCCCAACACTAAGTATCACATTGTTTGGGTGAGCCATGACAGAGATTCAGAGCTGAATTTCATCTCCCAGCATGATGCAAGCCCACAGCAAGGGCTGAAGTTCCCAGCGTGCTGAGGGAGACAGGGGTTTCAGCCAGGCCTCAGGATACACTAAAAGTTGAAGCACAGGAGGTGAAATCTTATGTTATCCCCTCCTTTTGGCACCATCCCAAAGACAAGATCAAGAGAACAGGTCTTACCTGACACATCTCTATCTCCACTTCTCCTCTGCCAGTTCTGGTGGTTCTCAGCCCTCTCCTGAATCCATCTCACCTCACAATGTCAGAATTAAAAGTAACTTGGGGAAAGGAAAACAACGTTCTAGGAGGACAGCAAGGCAGGGCAGCTCAGCAAAAGCCTCAGTGCTTAAACTTCCAAGAAGCAGCTGTCAATAGCTTTACTGAAAGAAAGCTCTACTACAAAGGAAGTGAAAGATGGGACAAGTTTTGCAAACTGGAAGAAAAGACTTAATCATACCAGGCTCAATTCTTAATCTTTCAGATTTGGCAGTATATTCACCAAAATACCTTATAAACAAACTTGCTTGTTAGAATCAGCTAATCTGTACTAGCAGTTGTTTCTTTTTCGTTCGTTTGTTTTGGTTTGAATTTGTTAGTTGTTCTTTCTTTTTCAAACAGCTGTAAGTTTCAAGCCTGTGAAAAACGTCAGATGGAAAGGCACAAAAATGGAAATGATCTCTTTGTCCAACTAGGCAGAGCAGTGACAGCACTGTGGCTGACAAGATGCCCAAAGAAGAGCTGTGAAGCATCAGGCCTATGAATAAGACTGTCCCTCACCACCACCTTGCATGACTGGGCAGAGGGCCCAGCACCAGGACAACATGCATGAGCACCTGCAATGCAGTACCACCATCACCCCTTCCCCATCATCAGACTGCCAGCACTACTGTCACCATCAGCTCTTTTTCCTTTTTTCATCCATGTTTTAAAATGCATCAAATCTGGAAAGAGCCCACAGCTGTTCCTGGTGGCAGAAGGATGTGGGAGCATACACTTTCACACCGGCTGCATCAGGAATGGAAGGCTTAGCTGGACAGGTGACTTGCTATTAATGCTGTCAAAAAGAAACAAATGCACTGAGGAGAAAATGCTGAAGTGAGCACTTGGGCACACGAATTCTACACTGAATTCTGATTCCTACACATTCTTCTTCAGCTCCAGGTAGAGGTGATAAAAATGAAATTCTGTTTTGCAGCTGAATTACTGTTTACTGAAGCAGCAATTAACTGTATCATATGACCTTCAATATTAAAGTAAAAATAGAACTGGACGAGCTTGCCACCTATCCAGCACTTAATAGTCCTTGGTTTGTTACGGAAAATATGCTTCATTCTCCTTAAGCCATGCTCAATTAATCTGGTTTGAATAAAGAACTCCTTAGAATAAAGGTCCAGTATCTTCAAGCTGTGGCTCTGCATGGTGTTTTTCCACTGGAATCAGTCTGTGCTTACAGATGCATACCAGAAACTCATTTCAAGCCTGAAGTGATGAGGGAACTGTTCCTCTCTGTCCAAAGAGCTTTGCCTCGGCATATCTTTTTTCAATAAAACTCTGGTACAATTAAGGAGGAATCTTGGCTGAGAAGTACAAAAGTCATTTTTTTCTTTGGAACAAATCTCTAGAATCTAAAATTAATTTGACAGAACAAACTGAAGATTATGAATAAAAATAGAAGGTATACAACTAGAAGAGAACTAAGGCATGTGAAAAAATTTATATTTCCTTTTAGTCTGCATTTTACAATGAGTTTTGTCTTGGCTAGGGGAGAAAGCTCTGCACTTCAGTTCATCTGAGAGCTTAATCAATAATACCCTACTTTGTCATCTGATTCCCAACCTAAAATTAACAATCCCTATTTTAAAAATCTTTATTATTTTGGGCCTTTTCTGCTTATTGAAAGACCACAGAAGAACCCACCTTCTCTGATGGCTGAAAAAATCCCTTAAATTTTTCAATTTACACATACATATCATTCAATCCTGACAACAATGTCCTTGACTTTAAATGCCTCTTTCTCCTTCCAGCCTCTGTGTCACTAGATTAGTGAGCCAAGCTCTTTCAGGATATGTATGTTTATATAGCCTTTCATAGGCAAATATGCTCGTGCTATCCCTGTGCAGCTGGCTGGGTGAGAGCCAGATGCAAACTGCATGCTGTGCTGACCAGGAGCCTGAACTGATGGATTTTGATGAGGACAGCAGTTTGGTCTCACGCCTTCTGATTTGCACTGAGCTCACCTTTACCTGCCACACAACAGGAAAGGAACAAGTGTTCTAGTGCCATCAAAACACCCCCAACACGTAGCCTTGGTCACTCCAAGATCCTCTACAGTCCTCCACAGTCTTTCAGGTCTGACTTCATCTTCCCTGAACGGAGGTTGCTGCGGATCAATCCTGCTGACATGCCAGGCTGCATCCAGAATGGCAAGAGGGACAGCTTTTGTCACAACCCATCCTGAGCTACATGGGGATGACCCACAACCTCCAGGTAACAACAGCTGCAACCCTGGAGTGCCAGGTCAGCCCCAGGGATGGTCTCAGAGCTCACCTGAGGGCCTGGATCTCTGCATGACTTTCCAGTGAAGCCACCAACACTGCACACCTGCACAGTTTTGCAACAATTAAGTTTTGATCTGATTTTCCATTCAAAGGTTGAACAACAAAGCAAGTAATGGAAGCAGGAAGCCACCTGTATATCATATAGGACAGAAACTTCTTTCACATTTGGTAAATCTGCATTCATCAAATTAACCTGATTTTGTTTTTGAACAGATTTATACAAAATGCCTTTACTGTTACTGTAATTAACAGAAAGCATTGATGACTGCAAAGAAGACAGCCTTAACTAGGAGAAAGTATCAATTTTGCATTAGAATTATGGATTATGGCAACTGATTTCATGAAGCAGTAAAATCAGTGGCATGACTATTCTGGCAACTGTTACAAAAGACACCTAATTTCATGTTTCAAAGAGTGAAGAATTCCAAACGACATCAATACATAAATTTGTATGAAGAACAGCATCCTTTCAATGCTTCATGTACTTTCAGGTAGGTCCCTCAGTAATCTCTAAACTCAATAAACTAAAAAAAACCCCAAACCATTGCAAAACAATCAAACAAAACTGTTACTATTCAAATGCATTTATTTTTTCTCTATTACTGACCACCTCCTATAACTGTTGATCAACTACAGCTGCCTAGACAATAGAGGCAAACAGGTATCCTTATGGGACCATTTACGTTTATTACATCCTTGCAAAACACCACTCAGCTTTAGCATGCAAAATTCACTAAAAATGATTACCCTCAGTTCACTCCAGCTTTTAAAGTAAATACTACCTACAACTCAAACAGCAGAAAGAAAATTGCAAACAACTGTTACTGACAGATAAAAACAGGAAAAAAAAATCTTATCTCATGCACTCACATTTGCTTTCTGTCTGTGGATATTAGCTCCCGTGTATATACGGTGTTCAAAACCAATATGGAAACAGAAATCAGACTAGACATGACAGAAAACAACAGTCTGTCAAAACAGAATGTCCCAGATTTTATGTTAGAGCTCTGAAGATCTTGCTTACCTAATTTGCATTAGGGCTTTTTGCCTTCTCTGCAACAGCTGCATTCTACCTCATCTTTTATTTGCTATTATTTCTACCATTGAGAGATAGGAGTGGCTGAATATCCGCTTGGATTCTCTTAAAATCTAAGGAGAAATCCTTTGATTTTGACTTTATCTCTAAGGTCTAGGGACCACGGTTTGCAAACCCCAAGTTTGCAGCTGGATGGGGACTACACAGCATGAGAGGGGTGAAGATACCAGATACGAGTGGGACTGCCGTACCAATAGAATCTGACAGCAAAGGAATGCTTTCTGCATGCCTTTATCTTACCACAACAGGTGGCATTCCCCCTTCCTCTCATCCCCCAACAGTGATGAATTGTTCCATTCATCATTTTGCACATCATACAAAAGTCAACACACATTCTGAAAAATGCCACCGCACCTTCACCAGCACAGTACATTGTAAGGATTCTGCACTTACTATAGCTATGCATGCACCTAATGAAAAGTGTCCAACTACAAGACATGCACTATTTTTTAAATTTACATGAGCTAATACGTATAAACTTTAAGAAAATCTCAACACCGCTAGCCTCAATTACATTCAGAATTGCAAAGCTGCAAGGGCATTTTCACAGACAATGGTTTAGGAGTTATGTTAGTTCCCAGGGATTTTGTAAAGCGTTTTTCTCCTGTTACCTTGGTAACTGCTACCTTGGCACCCTTGTTGATAAGCTGCACCACATTATCCACTTGGCCTTTGTACGCAGCTATGAGAAGCCGTTCTGAAAGCACAGCGACCACATCCTGCTGGCTCATGAATTAGGAGAGAAAGGTTTGCAGGGCAAGCAGCTCACAGGTTTCTTCGGTCCAGAAACAAAAGCTTCAGAGCAGTCCAAGTGCAGAGGCGAGAAAGGACCCCGGCTCTCTGGAAGGCAGTGATGTTCCTATGCCATCTTCTGGACCTGTGGATCAGACAACAACACTGCTGTCAGCAACATTTCACAGACCGAGGCACTGCAGCAGCTCCTCCCCAAGCGCTCATCTCTTCATCGGTTTGGAGGGGGTCACAAACAAAACACCTCTAAGCCTCCTGGAAAGGATCACTGCACTTCTACTGCAAGGTAGAGGGAGTGCATACAGACACACATTTTCAGTATGTCCTAATTCCCCTCATTTAAATCCTTAAACTTTCTGAAAGCATAACTCTCTTTTGGCCTGATCTGTATTTGTGTGGCCCCCTTTTGTTCTCTCTTTCTCCCTACATCTCCCAGACTATACATCAGCCAAGGATGAGTTAACTCCCTTTGTTGCTATCAGCACCTCAGCCTGTTTTGACCAAGGGAGCAAGGGTAGGTTATAGTTATGGGATGCAGATACAAATACACAAATCTCTGCAGTGGGACTGAGAGCAGTCAGCAATTAAAGGCAGCTGACTGCTCTCTTGCTGGTATAAAACGCTTCACAGCCTCCTGTAAACCACTCCAAGGACACCTTTGGCAGGGATCACAACCTGAAATTGGGAAACACTGATCCTTGCTGTCACTGAGAAACTGCATCCCCAGAGAGGTGCTGACATCACGCCACACTGACCCTGGGGACAATTCAGATTTAGCATTCTTCATGCAAACTAGGGAAATAACTGTGAGCAAGTTCTTCTTTCCTGTCTCCAATGACCTGCCCAATACAATGAACCATCAGAGCTGGTAAAAGACTTGTGACATGCTTCCAGCAAATCTATCTGCAGAACACTTTGAGCTTAAGGATCCAAATATTCCCAGTGCAGGAGGATTTCAGCTTTACCTTTACTTTGGTAGTACTTCACACCTTGGTATTTAACTGGTTCAGCACAGCAAAAACATCGTCAAGATAGCCAGTGTGCGTGCAGACAACTTATATTCCTTTCTCTTGAAATACCACTATACTGCTCATTACCAGCTTCTAGTACTACAGACTTCACATAGTTTAATAGGTTCAGAGACTAGCTGATCTTGGAGACTGACAGTGGAAAACAGCATCTTTCACACTTATGTTATCCTTTTGAATATAACTCAAAACGGCTATAACAAAAACCTATTAACTGCATCACAGCTTGGCTGCCCCCCTAAATTGATCTGGTTATGTCAGTCTGGCTGATAGCACAAAGCCCTCCTATCACAATTCCACCACTCTGATGTTCTTGCTCACAGTATCAGCAGAGAGGGCACTGCCAGGACAGATTTCATTGCCATTCATATATTAGAAAGACACTCCCAACAAGAAGGAAAAAGTGCATGGGTTGCTGTGGTACACCATCCTCTTGTCTTCAAGATACAGGGAGCGAGGCTTTTTAATTCTTACTCCAATGTTACACGTTCATATTCACCAGTACATATCAGCAACAAAAAAGGACTTTCAGTGGTCAGTAGGGTACTGAAATTTGAAAGAATGAGTGGTATCTCCAGGGAAAGAATCCAGGCTGGCTTTTCTTTACCATCCCCACGCTTGCTCATTGCTAACATGTCTGTAGCAATAAGGAAACAGCTATGCATTTATTCAGAGAGAGGAACAAGGCAAAAACTTCCCAGGTCTCAAACGCAGCGCAGCAGGGGATAACAAGGAAACAAACTCCATACCCCAGGCAGCTGTACACCCTGAAGGTGGCCTATAATTAACAATTTGATATGTGAAAAGTAACACAAGTTCAATCTCATCTGCCTTAAGTATTTGCTTTTCTGATGTTACTGAAGCAAGCTGAAGCCCCACAACTTGGCTGCCCTGCTCCCTCCCAGGTAGTATCCCCAGTGCCAGGAGCATGCTCCTGTCCCTCCAAGCCCACCACAGGGAGCAGGACAAGCTTTACGCAAACTATGTTCTCTGTCAGCTTTCCAGGTAGTGAACTTGTTTGCTCCTATGCCAGCTCCTGCCTGTGCAACAGTGGTTTCCAAACGTATTGTACAGTCAACTGTTTGTCCCCAGCCAACAGCAAGCCTGGCTATCCCTACCTGGAGCCGTGCACTAACAGCCAGCTCTGTGCACTCCAGAACATCTCTGATCAGAACCTGTTTGGTTTTCTTATCCTTTAATTTAAATATATACATATATATATATCAGTAACATCATTGACATTGAGAGATCTTTTACTACTCGCTGCAGAAAACTGAATGCAAACATTTTCCTGACACACAGACATTTCTGACCAAACTCCCAAAAAACTACAGATGCTCATTATGATTTAGCTGAAGCATCGGAGACCTCAAATACACACCAGTGCTCAGGTGACTCAGATGGTGCAAAGCACAGTGCTGCCAGGGAGCAATCATGCTAACAGGTATGCATGTACCTGTGAGAGGTGGAGGCTGGAAGCTGCACTCATTTCATAGCTTGTCTCACTCCTTTCTGATGTCAGCAGTAAGCTCTCTCTGGTGATCATTAGCCCCACAGCCCAGAGGGACTGCCTGTGGCAGCTATACTCTGTGATGTGTTTTGCCTTCTTGCCTCCTCCGGATCACATACAAAAGCATAATTAAGGAACTGATCCAGCTGTCAGTCTCCCATGGGTTTCCATCTCACTGTTTAAGCCTCCAGCAGCAGAGGGTCTCCTCTGCAGCAGGGCAGTCATGTAACAAACCAGTTCCCAATGCCAGCTGCCTTACAGAATGGTTTTCACACAATGGGACACATCCTCACTTCCTGCTTTACATTTCCTCAACTGCACGTTTTGGATGCTTCACAACTCAGAAAAGTGTGTCTGATCAGGACAGGAAGCCCTAACACATGGAGTTCGAGAACTCCTCACTCATCTTCTGATACCAAACCCCTCCCAGCCAGCTTTATCTCTTCATGGCCTCAGAAACACAGAGCATCTTCTCTTGAATGTGTCTACACAGGCAGCCTGAGGGAGAAGTCAGCAGATGCCCAAGTGCTGCAATTAAAGGCCCAACTGCTCTTTTGCACCCAGGTAGTACAAAACAAACCAATAAGGTGATTACAGGCGTACAGACGCTGCGGCAGCCCCTGCTGCCAGTGCCTAATGCCCAGATTTAAAGTCCTCATTACCATTCCAAATCACTGCCACTTCCTCCAAGCAGCAGAGTCCTTGTGCGAGGGATCCTGTAGTGCTCCTGCCCCTATCCTTTCGGAAAGCACAGAGATGTTCAATCCTTCTGCCAAGAAATCAAGACAGGAAGAAAAAATAAAAAGAAAATAAAAAAAGGTTTTGCTTTACAATAAGCAGCAGCTCTCGCTGTGTTTCTCTGGTAAAGATCAGATTGCTTACCTGGGGCAGGTAGGGAAAGCAACGCCCAGCCCCAGTACCCCACAGGATGGCAGCCCAGGGCAATGCCCATTGGTCCCACTGCTGCAGCTTGGCTCGGCACAGAGACAGCAACGTGGCCCCCTGATCAGCGCAGTGTGACAGGGGACACTCGGGCTGATATCACTGTTCAGTATTTCAGACCCACAGCAATGAGGCAATGTCTGCAGCCAGCAAGAGCCAGCCACATCTCCACAGATTTTAGCAGCTCAATGAGTCAGGCACTCGTGAGTACAGGAGCTCCAGGAAATGTCTGGCTGCTGGAGGCAGTCCTCCCGGAGCTAGAGAAAAGCCCAGCACATAGCAAGCATCACAGACACTGCCAGGCTGGAAGATAGCCTCTCCTATATTCACAGAAAGGATAAAAAAGAAAATAAAGGTTTCCCTTACAGGAAAGAGAGAAAAAAGGTGAAAAACTCTGAAAGACTTAAGACTTGTAAGCTAATCAACTTTATAAAATCCCATGTAATAAATGGAAATCATACAATGTCAGAGCACAGGTTACTCTCAGTTAGTAAGATCACCAAGTTCAGTTACTGTCTGAACATCAATGTGGCTAACAAAAAGCTCCTGGTTCTAACTATTACCATTGTAACAAGGTTCAATACAAAAATTAAAAAAAAAAAAAGAATAGAGAAAGGGGGCCCCATTTCCTGCAGTAGACCCCCAAATTCTCTTCTCTGTTCATTGCCAGAAATGGTGCTGAGTATTGCAAGAAAAGCACTCATTCACCTAGCAGCTTTATTCCATGCAATGTAAGTAATAATTATTCTAAATTATTTTAAACAAATCCTGTGTGATTTAGCCAGACCATTTGTTTTATGAGATTATATATAATAGTACTCTTTTATAATAATCTCATAATAATTCTTTCTAAGAAAGCTTCCGAGAAAACTTTCTATTTCTAATGCTGCCCATCTCTTCATTACTCTGCTCTCCAAGGAAAATGGGTTTCTTTGCTTATTAGTACATAACAGTATATTAAAATCCACAGTGTTCTCTTTTTCTTACCTACTCTCTCTGAGAAGTAGCTTGTCATATTTAAAATATGTCATAAGCACAAATAATGTACTCAAAGTAACAAGGTGGCTTATTGCATTAAAGAATGAGTTTCCTGGAACCTAACTCATTTTATCATTTATCTCAGGATGTAGATATACCTTCCATTTCTGCTGAGTGACTTTCAGAGTTTTTTCAAAACCTGCAGCACTGCTTTCCTTTGAATGGTTTTTCTCGTTTCCCCCATGAATCCAGTACAAAGCTTTTGGGAAAAACGTATATATTTTGCTAAACTCCTTCCTGCCCTAAAAGACAGTTCAGAAGAGCCCAACGTGTCATTATGAAAAACACAAAATAGAATCATTAAGGTTGGAAATGACCTCTCAGATCATTAATCTGACTATCAGCCCACCCCCACCATGCCCACTAACCATGTCCCTCAGTATCACATCCACGCATTTCTTGAACACCTCCAGGACAGTGACTCCACCACCTCCCTGGGGCAGCCCTTTCCAGTGCCTCATCACTCTTTCCAGTGCAACTTAAGGCCATTTCCTCTCATCCTAGCAATAGAAAGACCTGAAAAACAAGAACAGACTACCAATTCAAGAACTATCTGCTTCTGATACATATTTATCAACTATACCAATACTAATTTTTGAGCTAGACTGTATACTGCTGAACATTTTGAAACTAGACAGGCTATTTTCTTCTATGTCAGTCTCTGACGCTGTTTACACGGCATGTTTTGAAATGCTATCAATGCAAGGAAAATTATCCAGTTTTCATGCATGCAGTTCTCTAATCCATCACCTCCAGAATCAGCATGCTCTGGTTTATCTGAGAACTTTTGTTTATTTGTTTTTTGTTTTTTTCCTACTTGCTATTAATTACTTCAATAATCACTTTAGCAGTCTCCCAAGGAACTCTGTGTGCCAGCTGCTCCACAAGTTCCCACCAACACTAAACAGCCAGGCTGATGTCCCTGCCCTGCCACCAGCATGGATCTGCAGCCCTCTGTCCACCACAGCCAGACACAAGCTCTCAGATGCCTGGCAGCTCTCAAATCAGCCTTGTTGCCACCACAACAGGCAAAGCTGCACCTGCTGACACTGGCACATGAAGAGTAGCAATGGAGATCAA